ACGAAACTCTGTGTTTTCTTTCTTCAGTGGTGAAAATGTAAATTTCTCCGAAACCCAGTAGGGCGAAATCCTCTCATTTCAAGATGAATTTTACACGCACCCTGTGCCATGCGAGCCCACAACGATGAAGAACAAAGGGATTGGGAGCTTAAGTGTCCTTGTTACAAGTGGAACATTGTACACGTATTAACAGTGCTCTTAAATGAGCGAGGTTAGACTGTAAACATTTTCAGCCAACCGACCAAACTAAACTCCACTCTCCACTAACAAATCCCTATCACCTCACCTCACATAATTCCCATTCTATCAAATCCTAAGCATGACCCATCCCATCAATATCTATCCTGCCCAACCATACCTAACCAACCTAATTCTTACTCTTTTAACCCACATTCCACCCCACAACACTAAATCCCCTCTAAAGGGTCATGGTTGCCTTGTCGAGAGAGTAAAGCACCCTTCCATATGCGCGCCAAAACCTGCGCCAAGCGTTGCGTATTCGCCAAAATCGATCACTCCCCAGACGATTTTGATGGCTGAACGCAACGCACACGTGTTATGTTCATAGCGTCGATTTTTGTGTCAGTGAAAGTGACACGAACGAACGCATCGTGTGCGCAATGCACCCTAAAAACGTATGAAAAGGCCCCTTCTTAGTTATTTATCCAATTTCAGAACAGATGATACACATAGCATGCTGAGCACGTACAGTGTAATGTTCTGCAGTATTGATAAAATACCAAACTGGAACCAAAAAATCGTGGCAGTATTCTTACACATCTACCCACAAGCAAAACCGTAATAGCGTGAAATACGGATGGCTAGCTGACAGACAGAAGCCCCGAGAAACTGCCTGACAGAAGTTGTTAATAAATACCCTCATATTTGCTCGCCAAAAAAACAAAACAAACAAAACAATAGTTAACAATACGCACTTTACGACCCATTTTGAATACTTTCTGAATGTTATCAAACTTTCCATTAATGTACCTTTGACAGGCCTCAATCATCCAGTTTCTACATGATTTTTCAAATAACCCCGGGGGCTACTTAAAAAAAATTCTCAGTTTCGATTTCCAGAAAATGTGAAACACATAAATTGTTCAAATCTTCTTTCTGACGATATCCTAAAATATAAAACGAGGAAAAAACGTCAGCGGGCCTGATGTTTCGATTCCGGAAGAATCTTCCTCAAAGGCAATCGTCTTTCTTGCCCTCACTACACCGTTTCTAGTGTCATGATTCAAATTGAACTTTATCCAATGATTTCCCGACAAAGCCTACGCCATGCGTCGTGTCATGCGGTGGCGATGGGGACGAGGAAACACACACCTGGGTCTGTGCACTTACCAGACAAGCGCTACTGCAGCTAGAGAGAACGAAACACACGCAACAAAAAGTCTTGTTGTTTTCACAACGGTCGATGAAAAAGCAAACCACCATCACATACACATTGTAAATGGCTCTGTTTATTACAGATTTCACAGGGTATAATACACACATGTACGTAAACTAAAAGCATTCTCTTTCAATGATGCTTGTCCTTTGGTTTATAGATACCATTAAAAAGACACAAGTTTGTTTCTAAATCTTTTCAGTGTGACATTACTAAATAGAGTCGTCAGGAATGCTTAATAGGCCCAAAGATCAGTTCCCCACTTTAACCAATTAATTTATAGAAACGCTATCCGAACTTACGGACAACCACAACCGATATCCAAGCGTATCCTTTCGCATACCACAATACTTTATCTGACGTCAAAACTTCGCGTTTGTGATACCTTTCAAGAAGGTATGAAAAGGCCTCAAGTCCCCCATCTCTTAGTCATTGCTTGAACCTAATGGCCAGACTGAATAGCGTTAACATGACAACCCTTTATCCGGGGGCCACTACTAGCCACCACGCGCCTTCAACAATACCCCCATAGTTAAGATTGTTTGCAATATCCATAGAATTGCAACGATAATGCAAAATGTAAAAACATGAACAGACATAAACTAGGAAAGGTTACCCTTTTCAGAACTGACCTGAGAGTTGCAACTTTCAATTGCACTTGACGTATTTACACGGTGAAAACGACATGAACATTCATATAATCATTTCTCATTATAACGGGGTTGAGAACTTCAAACTCCAGAATTCATCCTTTAAACCATGTTTGGTTCTTGCCCTTGTTGATACACTTGTATTCATCAAAGGTGCTAAACTTCACACCAAGAGGTTTAGCCCCTGATACTTGAACTTGTATGGAACTCGAGCACTAAGTACTAATACTCATCTAGTCTTAGATTCACTAATCAAAAGGTGGTCAACCATTCAACCACTGGTGTGTCTGGGGTACATTTTGGAGGGCCTTCGGTGGGCTTGGTCACGGTTGAAACAATGACCAAGAAGCAACCACCCAATTTTTTCTGTCTAATTTCAAAGCGGGGGGAGGCAAGCGCCTCAATAGTTACCCCCACTTCATTAAACCGATTGAAAAGATTTGACAACAAACTAAAGGCTGTACTTACACAATCAAGAGCTTAACTCTTTAACTTAAGCTTAACTTGTTCGAATACTAATTCAAATACTCCACTACAAAATTGCACGTTAAAGAGCATCACCAACGGTGGTGAGGAAAATGGGGAATACAGTTTCAAATACTCACGTGGTATCTAAGTTATACATGCATATGTAAAGTGGCACTGTGACTTCTAAATAAACAGTAACAGTGCGACAAAAAAAATTGATCAATTCTGCGGGTTTTCAAAAACTGTCCACGTTTGTACCGTTGGTGGCGCCACGCGGATAAGCTTATTTAATTGCGCACCACCGTGAAAACGAAAAACGTCATAACATCGCAGGACCTGATTTCGTGGGTATGTCTTCGTACAAAGGCCTGCACACCTGAGCTGCATGGCCTAGCCGGACACTTTTTTGGAATAAAGCAACACACATAAAAAAATTCCAAAACTTCCGTCCTTCACCCTGAACTTATCAAGCCGTATTTATTAAACGATCTTAGTCTCCTTCACCGCCTCGTTCACCAGCGGTGGTCCCATCGTCAGCCCGATCGGTAAGGCCCTGCGCATCGGATTTGGCACTCTGCGTAGTCCTCGGGTTTCTTCTTGCTCTGGTGAGCTGATGCTGTCCTAAGTAGAACCGCTGTCTGACGAGTTCCTCACTTCTTCATCAATACTACGCTCCTCCAAGGAGTTGTCGCTTTCTGGTCTTTCATTTTCGGCCACTTTTGGGGGGAGAATATCTCGGCCTTCCAGCTACTATAGCATGAGCTTGGGACAGTTTAACTGTAACCATAGAGGAAGGACACAGGAGTTGCAACTCTGGCACTTCAAAGTGTTCACTGATGGTCGCCGCCGAGTCAGACAAATAATACAAAACATTTCAAAAATACCTGATTACTGCCTGCATCTTAGCTGGACAAGCAGGGCCAATAATATCCTAACAATGACAGTAGTTTTTGGCTTGCATTTAAATACAAATTATTGCTTTGACCAGGAAATAGAGAGAGAAATATCCCTGATATTAAACCTATTTTTGCCATCGTAAATAAAGTTAATAAATGTTGATACATTGTTCCCTTATACATGCAAAGTTTCTAATTTTATTCTCCTCCCTCAAACACATCAGTGTTCGCTACGAATTTGGCTAAGACTGGCCAACAATATGACGGTTGACTTTTACTGGAAAGCCAAGTGCACAAGTAACAAAATGCGCTTTTTCATCACGGGAAGTGATCCTGAAATTTCATAATACGCTTTTGTACAAATGTAATAATAAAAATGATTGGAACAAAACACAAAATGTTGTAAACAATCGGGCTATTTATTCCGAAAAAAACTCCAGAAGAGAGGGCACACACCGTAATGCAAGCAACTGCGCAAGCATTAAATTTGATGTTGTCATGAGATCATACCAAGCACCAACAAAGGCATGAATATTCAATTTCCTGTACCTCAGTGCACAAAGTTTTATGGATATAGATTACCAGCCACAAATTGCGGCGGCGATCATAGGGTACAAAGGGGTTTGGTGGTTGTGAAACAGATGGTGCGTAGCAAGCGTTCGCTACGCTCTGGCTATGGACATACCGGGCATGCCAGAAAGCGGTAATTGGCCAGATGTTATAGCCCGGGCAGTTCAAACTCCTTCTGTGTCCTTCCTCTAAGCTGTAACTACACACGAGTTTTTATGTAATTATGTGCATTGACGTGACCGCACCGGCTCAGTGCGTACATGCACCAGCCGGAGAACCGTTTCCACGGTGCATGCTACGTGGACGAAAGACTGGAAAAGCCTGATTCATGAGATGTAAATGAAGCGATGACGACACTCTCCTTCCACGAAAGCTAGTCATAGCACTCGGCAGACACGGGTCTCAAAAGTGAGTTTTTTTAACCAAAAATATTGCTGAATCCGGGTTTATGTGTACATAGATGTCTATAATGGGATCCAAGTAAACATACCACGGCCAGATTTCTTATTCCTCCACCCTTGGGGTTGCTCTTTAAAGTTGTTCATCAAAGATACTCAAATACACACCGTGCAGGGTATTCCTAATAAAAATAGTACATGCACACTGTACTCAAGCGCCTTCTCTGTTCTCATATATACTCAACACCGAACTCCAGAAAAAACTTGTTTTGGAGATTTTGTAATTGTGTTCCCGATTTCAGAAAAGTACCCGACTACGAAACAGACGGGCACAACCACTAATGACGCCTTTGCCTGTAGTACGTGTAAGAGCATTGTTGTGTTCATAAAGTCAGGAAAAAAAGCTGTTATGTCAGACGACAAAAACACAGAGTCAGACACAAAGTAAAGGGGAAGGCCAGGCCTACGGGACCTGTCACCACAAAATGAGCTTAAAGATGTTGTTTTGAAGATCTGAGATGTTTAACGTCGTGCAAAACAAGTGATCTGCCTTGGTGTATCATGTTAGGGTGCTTGAGTCCTAAAGAACTTAAGTTGAAACATATTACATTATTCGAGAAAGTGGTATGTCAAAATTTCTTGTTTATTTGCTGACTTGGCTGTATCTACTTGTTTTGCAGCATGCTGAATAAAAAGCACCAACCTTATCGCTATTCAGGGGAGAAGTCCATGTGAATATGCTCTACCGCGCCCATCTGTTTGACATAATACCGCTTCCCGATTTTCTCAACAGCCATTGACAGGCATGTTGTTTGTTTGTTTTTTTTTTTTTTTTGGTTTTTTTTTTTGGTTTTTTTTCTTCTCGATTGCAACGAGATAGGCTGAGCCATATCTTGCCGGTTGTCGGCTCACTTCAAAAGAGACCTGGTTTTGCTAAGCGTGAGAAATACCAACGAGGCCACAAATGTCTTTTCAACATCGTATACGAGTTTAATCTTGGTGGTTTTCATGCACGTATTGTGGTTTTGCTCTGCCGAACAATGTGCAAAGGGACCTCCGTCCAAATAACTGAATGTTCATACTTAACATTACTTGGGGAAATAATGCAACCAAACATTGGCAAGTTTTCAGCTGCCACAAACTCAATGTACGGGTTCTCCAAATTTCAGCGTGTGACCATTTTACCAAATCGAGCCAGACAGCTATTTCATTTCAGAATTTAAAAAACGGAAAAACTCATGCAATGAAAACCAACTTGAAACACACTCAGACTTCACACAAGAGACTGAATCTACTGAAGAACAGGACACACTAATTAATTTTTGCATTTCACTGGACAAAGGACCACTCATTTAACAACTCGGGCAAGAAGTAAGCAGCATCGTTATTGTTGGTGCTGCCCAAAACGTACCAGGAGGCGCCCGTTTGAAAGAGTGAAAATACATAACGTTTGCGTCAGGCTACACTGCACAGGAAAAAAGTTACCACAGTACGTGTACACAAAATGTGTACGCAGCAGGGTGTCCTTGATTTATTTCAAACAAGGCCGAGTAAGTGTACCGTAATTTTCGAAATACAGGTCCCAAGGAGTATTAGCCTAGACGCACCGCAGTGCTGACGTCACGTATAAAGTCATCGCACGTGCTGCACTACTGAAGCGCTGGAGCACCGGTATTACGCGGCGCGCCTCAACGTTTCACTTGACTGCAAACCTCTGTTAAAAAACCTCAAATCCACTAGGGTGACACTATTGCCTTCTTGAAACAGGCTTTGAACCTTTGTGAACAATTTCAGTGACGTGAAATTTCGTCCGAAATTCAAACTCGTCGCCGTCAGGAAACTGGGCAAGAATTCAGCCGCGAGTGATCTGGCGTCCCCGAAAAATCTCAGAAAATTCCACCCTAACGTTTCAGAGGATCTTTAAAATGGATAACTAATCATTATTACCTCCATTCACATAACGTGCCGAAAATTGTTTGAAAAAAAAAGTCTTTTGGAGCGCATTTTAAAAGAGTTTCATTTTGCACTTATGAAAAAACTGGAAAATCGGCCCAAAACAAAATTTCATCGGTATATGAAATCGACACCTATGAATCAGAACAGGATTTTGATTAAATTTCACCTTTTGTGAATTGGCTAGCAGTGTGGGAACGGGTGTTGCTCATAAACCTAAACTTTCCCAAGTCCTCCACATTACCAATTTCGGCGGGCAGGATTGGTGTCCTTGCTGGTGGGCAATGCAGCAGTTGTTTGTTGTCTTTTTTTGCCCGCAGTCACCAAATGACCAGTGAAATAATAAACAACATGAATTACGCAACCATGGAACAGACAAAAATGAATAGACGCACCACACGATTTGCAAGGTGTGAACGGTACTTACGGTACATTTGCAAGTCTATTCAGTTCCTCTGGACTGGTTTCCTTATTTCCAACACGTGGGTTGAGGCAATGTAAACGGCAACCAACAAAAAAGATGACTGCCTCGTCACCGGTAATGCCCCACCACTTGCACGCGCAGCCGGCAGCCCGGGCTAGGCTACGCTGAGGCGCGGCACGGCGCGGCGCGGCGCGGCGTTTAGTGACTGATTTCATTCTTCAAATGTTGCCGAATAAGCAGCCTGGACTACAAGCCGTAGGGACATTTTTCAGCGTGAGAATAAATGTATAAGCCGCGACTTGTATTCCGAAAATTACGGTATGAGTAGCAGAACACTCAAAATCCCTGCAGTTCTGTGCGCATTCCAACGAAAATCGTTGCGCATACTCTACACCAAATGATTGTTAGAGGCAGAGATGGGGGACTGTTTCACTCACATCTTCGGTTGCAAATCACGACACAACACGGTGAATGTTGTTACGTACCACTTCCCAGCAAGCCAGTTCCTACCCAAAATTCAAGCACAAGATTGAGACGGGGTAAAGAACTAACACCGGTCTATTTCCACAACGTCTTTGAGTGCATTAAGTGGAAAGTTCAAACCTAGGTAAGGCAGCCAGAGAGGTACAAGAAGGAGGTTTGCATATTTGTAAACATTTCTGTAACTTTATTAGCCCCTGTGTGATATTGTCAGGGTACTCTTCACCACGAGTGGCTGCCTCATGAAGGCCTGGAGAAACAAAACATTAAGTACTCGCTAAAAGTCAAGCAAGGTAACCCTTCTAAAAAAAGTGTGTTCCCATTCCAAAACAATGTAGTCACAAACTCCTCTAGGTGTGTTTCTTACTGCAGCGTCAAATCTTTAAAAAGCTTCACTAGTTCCTGCTTGCATAAATCAAGGTTTAATGGGTCCAGGGACAAGTAATCTTACCTTTGAATCCGGCTTCTGGAACACTGGACGCTGAAATATGTAAACATAAACAATAAAGTCTTGCAAAATAAAAACATTGCCGCAGATCTACTTCCTGACATCAGCGACTTCAAATGATTGCATCAAAAGTATGTAAGTTTTTTCCTAAATGGCATTTGGATCAAAGTGTCAGGTCCTCCGACATTGTAATTAAAAAAAAAAAGGTCGTGTTCCACTGCTATTTGTAATGGGGTCCAGTTATCAAAGATTAAAGACAATGCAAAATGTAAGTTCTTGGAGATTTTTAAAGTTGTTTTTTATTGTGGTCCACGCATTTGAACAAACACTTTTTGAGGATGATGCAAACGAGTGTGAAACAATTAAATCACTTGATCAGTTAAACATAAGCAAAAAAATGTGAAACATGAAAAAAAAGGTATTTCGATGACTCCAATATTATGATCATTCCAGAGAAACTGCCGCCTCACCTTGGAATATTTCGTCCACGGCAAACGGGTCCTCGGACTGTGGCATGTCCACGGTCAGCGTAATGACGCAGCCTGGCTCGATGCCAAGACTGGACAGAGTTGACTCGTTATCGGTCAGCTGCTGACCGCAAAAGTGGAGCGTCTGATCAAACGGGGCCACCGAGAAGGCGTGCATCACCTGATCAGAACATCAAGCGGACTACTGTTAATTTCCAATCAGATCTGGTGTTGATATGGGCCCCGATTCGTGATGCTGAATAGCAAGCCGTCGTGTTTGGCAAAAGACTTGACAGCTAAAGAAGGTGATATTCTGTTGTGGTTGTGGGGAAGAGACTGCTCACCTTAATTTTCAGCTCCTTCAGTGTGTTGCCGGAGGAGACAATCACCTCCTTCTCCCCTCGGACTTTGCGGTGTCGCGAACTCCGCCGGGTACTGTCGGCATAGCTACTCAGTCGGATCTTCTTGCTGCCGTTGACCTGCTGTGGGTGTGTGTCGGGGGGGGGCACCAATGAAAACTAATGGAACAACCTCAAATTTGTTGATCAATTTTGGGTTCCACTGGGGGAAAACATGACTCAAACCTGTCTACCTGGTATATACTGAACCAGAAATTCTATGACCTGAACGATGCAGTCTTTTGTAACATAAGAGTGTTACGTATGCTGTGTGTAATCCTTTTACTGTGTCCATTCTTCATCGTGTAATCACTTCCACAGCAAATAGTCGGAAACTCTCAGCACCTCTATGTTTGCTGGTACTGCAACTAGTCAGAAACCGTATGTGAAACCCATTAAAGCAAGACAGACATGAGTCCAGGGACCAGACCCAGAGACATGTTAACAGAATTACTTTCAATATTAAACATGAACACCGTTCTTTCTTTAAGACTCATGCTTTGCTTAAATACTGAACTGCATAACAGTACTTGCAAGCAAGTCCTGAAATAAAATTGCAAATAAAACAGGATGAACTCTGAAATCGTAGATACATTGCTCTACCACTCACCTGAAAGAAATCTGGATCTCTGGCTGTGTCGTGGCTTGACCTCTTCCGGTCCTCTTCGTCCTGGGTGTGACCGACGGAGTCCAGCTCTGTGACGATCTTGCGGACGTAGATGCGGGCCCCGCTGTACTCCTGTCGCTCCAGCCTAGCCTGGGTTTGCCTCGCCATAATGCACTCCATGCAGGACTCTGTAAAGTCAGAAAGTACCAGGCTACACTGAAAGTCACTGTCCTAGTTGCAAAACTGGACAACTACACTTGATTCAATACTCCATGTTTCACTCACACGAACCTCAGCTTTCTGTCCCTCTCTCAAAAAAGACTTTCTTATGCTTGTATAAAGTATAAAGACAATGTTTTGAAAACATTTTGGATAAAGTTTGTTTGCTTTTAATAAACATTTGCTGAAACATGAAATCAGGGAAAGGTGTAACATTCAACATTAAGACAGTCCAAAAGTCAATCTTCTTTTGCATGTAAAAAAATGAACCAAAAGAAATACGTAAAGATGGATCGATGCTACATGAAACATTTTACAAATTCGGTTTCTCGATCTCACCTGGTTGGCACTCCAGCGTTACCGGCCTGCCATTCTCAGATGCTTCCTGATCACGGAATATCCGTACGGCAAAATCCACGGTGAAGTTCTTGGTGAGAAATTCCCACTCGTGGGGCCAGACTAAGGAGTACCTGTGGGAAACATTGGGGGGAAAAACACAAATGCCAGAATAAAAATGGCCAATTTCTGGGGCTGTGGGGTTTAGTGGTTAATGATGGAACTCATTGTCACAGGATCAAGAATTCAAATCAAGCAACGGGCATTCACCTTGTGTCCTTGACCAAGAAGCTCTAACCCAATTTGTCTTACCAACCAGGATTACAAATGGCCACCCTTGGGGGCAGAGGGGGTTATTGTGTTGGGTTAGCTGTTTGAATCTGAAATGGCATGATCAAACTGCTTACTTCTCAAAGAACTGAGATGGGTCTGAGAATGTTTACGAGGTCCTTTGAGCAAGGATAGCAATGCGCACCAATGGATACGTGAGCTTCTACATCAATTAATCGTGATCCCTAAAGGCCAGTGAGGGCTGCTCAGTTATGCTCAGGCCAAGGAAAAAGTTGGGAAGTAATACTTACATGTTACTCGTTACCTCGTCTACGGTGCCCGGCTCAAATACGAAGCGGTTGTGGTTACATATGAGGAACGCATTGTTTACTTCGCTTAGCGGGGCGTGTTTCAACGGCTGACGCACGAATTCCCGCCACTGCTCCAGGAAGGGTCGACTCACGGCATAGGCCTCTGTTACTTCCTTGAGGACAAATTACACAAAGTAGAGTAACAAGTGCGCCAAATTCATGACGCTGCAAAGTGCATAGCTCTCCTCTAAAAAAAATCATTTATCCATGTCTGTATTAAAGCAGTAAATGTCAACAGTAGCTTGGTAGCAGAATTGGAAGGAAATATATGGGGCATTTGGCAAAAATAATAAAGAGGTTTGCAAACTTCGCCTAATCTTTAAAGGGCATGGGCTGTGCTGGGAAGATTTCTTGTCAAACATGCATCAACACTTAAAACAAACATAGATAACAAGAAAACACATCTGCATTATTTCAAAATGTGCGGAAATATGTCAAAAATTACAGTTTTCAGGACCTTATTTTACTCCCTTCTCGGGGCAAAAGCTAATCACCAGCCGTCTGGTACAGAAAGTTGTCTGAAGAAATGCCCAAGAATCGTGACGTCATAGGACAGAGTCCTTCATCTGGCATTTACTGTTATGCATTTACTGTTATGTACGTAATGCAGTAGGCGTTAGCGTGTACCATCACTCAAGCGACGTTAATTCCAGCACTGATGCTTTTTACGATCATGACAGCAATGAGTTGTCATGTTCGTCTTATTCATTTGACGAAGAAAGCGACATTAAAGGAGTTAATGAGGCACAAGAAATATTGCCTTATCAGTTTGAACCAGAATACACTCAGGAAGAGATTTTGTAACTCGAGGCTGTTGGCCACAGTCATGGCGGCGACTTGGAGGATCAACAAAAACACTGGACTAATATTGGAGTTTTGCTCTGCCCGACGCGTATTATAACACTGTATACTCAGTGTTTGCCCCAAAAGGCTTGTGAAAAACCCCACAAGCGTACTCAGGTGGGACTCGAACCCACAACCTCCTTTTTTAGTCCGTGGTTATAGGCTAGCCTACTTCGTCAAACTTGGTGTTTCATTCCGACAATTTTATTTTCACTGTGCACTGCGAGTCGTTTGCTTGGACCGATTATCTTTCTTGCCCGAACTATGCTTTCTGGTCTAGAAAGTAGAGTCCGCCCCATGACGTCACATTTTTGCTAAGACTTGTCTGCTGCCCTCACTGACCGATCTCAGCAAATTTTAGCGAAGAGCCCAGGCGGAGACTGAAAAAAGCACACAGAAAACACCAAGTTTTGCTGATTTAATGACATAAAAGAGGGGTTAATCCAACTTATTGTTTATAAGACGGTTGAAAAATCATAACGTCAATTTAACCCTACATGGCCCATCCCCTTTAAGCCCTAACATGAATGTGCGGGCTACACCAAGATTGGACTTGTGGTGGGGTAACCTTCTTCTCCCAGCTCGGCCGGTGTCTGTCGTTGAAGAGCTGATGCAGAGCCGCTTTCTGGTCAGCTGCCATCATGACCCTCAACATGCCGTCTTGTTCCTGCTGCTCGTCTCTGTGCTGCGGGAAGAGAACAAAAATTGGCCGAAATTTATTCATCCCTTGGCTGAGTGACGTGTGGCTTGACTCACATACTCAGTCGAAAAGGGGAGAGGCAGGTCTGAAATACTCATGGAGAACAGTCAAGTGTCATTTCTGACCTGACACGCCCGGCACAACTCCTGATCCTGGTTGAACTTTGGAGCATCGGGGAAGTACACATGGAGTCTTTCCCACACAGCGACCGGCACAAGCTTCCGCAACGTCTCGTCCGTGCTCAAGCCATCTGCCAAACAAATATCACAAAGTGTTCTGAGAATGAAGACATCCGGAGTACAGGTGTTAAAATGGACATCATAGTTTAACAAAGATGCACCAGATCTGGGAGTGCAGGAGGTTAAGGGTGCTACTCAGGGGGTTAAAGGCATCTGAGGTGATACCACGGAATGATTTCTTTTTCGATGATAGAACTCTGCCAAAGAACCCAAGTTTTGACTCAACATTTTGGCCAGTAGGTACTGGTCCTCTTCAGATAAAGACCAGCGCACACTGTTAAAACACTGAGTAATGTACGATCCCTTTACAGTCACAATCGTACGCAGAATTTTGTGCCAACATTGATGCACATTTAAAGGACTTGAACAGAATCCCAGTCCTAATTTCTTGCACTTGACAATGACCTTTACAGTTTCTACCCACTGTTGCAAAGCTTAATATAAAACTAAAAGGCACAAACCTCTGTCCACTTCACAATGCCAAAGAAAAATGCAACGATCAAGAATTTATCTTCAAGAGTTCACGATAAACTTCTTACATTCTGCCAGGGATTTATCATGTTTTCTTTGTTGCTAACGCACGGTAATACACAAACTAACCATCAATTCAGGAGCCAGGTATACGATGAAAATTGGTATCTACGGACCAAAAAATCCACTGTAATACCCTGCCCAACGAAAACCATTTGCCTGGAAATTTAAGTGGCTGTTTACATTTTCCCAGAATGCACTGCAGGCTTTGTGCCTCTACTGGCAGCTCTCATGTCCTCAAGTGGTTCAAACTCACTGTGACTTACTGTGTGGGCATAGTAGCTCCGCGTTGAATGTGCCCACCATGGACTCCACGTTGGGCTGATCAGACGTCATGTCCTGTCCTGCTGAACCCCCCAAAAAAGAAAAAAAAATGGGCTCAAGTATCGACCAAGCATGCCTGTAATTTGTTTTCTTCTGACAAGCTTTACAACAGAACTGAAGAAAAAATTTCCCATTAGAATGGTGAAGGGTGAATCCAGGGACTGACGTAATGACAAATGTTTCATCAAGTTTGGGTTACCATCACAATTAGCGACTTCTGGCTCTTTTCCCTCCGATGGCTTCTCTCTGTCGAGTACCATTTTTCTCCATTGCCTCAGTGACGCCTTGCCGACCCAATAGCCAGGCAATCTAAACAGTGAAACCGTTGGACTTCTGTAAAAAGCTGGCCCACAGTTACGGCTTAGACTAGGGCTTCACTTTGAGAATCACAAGGAAAAGGCTTGATGGGACGACTAACAAAATTATATCCTTATTCCTTCTGTGCACATGTTACGGATGTCACACTCATCTTAACTCCCACACAGAACACATGCAACAAAAGTATCCACACAGAACACATGCAATAAAAAATAGTGCCAGTTTAACATGTCTCGATCACCATATGAGTCTGTGTTCAGGAGTCCCTTGGAGATGAGTGAAGTAACGGTGGCTATATAAGAGCAATGTTAGGTTGGTAACACACATGCTGTGCTCTGAGCTCGGTATTTGACTTGAATAAAGACTAACTGAGACATTAGATTCTCCGTTCTCTGTATGCCTGCGAAAAAAGCATAACCCGCTTCACCCTGGTTCAAGCTTGTTCTTGGTTGTCGTGGTAACAAACTTGCTGTCCTCGTTTAGGTTGGACTTCAGCCGCATCATGCGACATCGTTCGCGGACACACTTCAAACACAGGCTGGTCCCGGAGAGGCGCGGACCGCCATCGTACTTTGAATGTAGGATTCCTGCCTGGAATTGTCAGGAAAGATTGGTGACAAGATACTGAGTATGTGAACGATTTGTATAATGGTATTCAAAGAACTTTCTGGTAAAATAGATACGCAATTGTCCAAAATGTCACATTAAAAGAAAAACATAACTTTCTTCCAGGACTTACTGCTTCCTGGCTTATCCGCTTGACCTGTTGTATCTTGTCCGGATCCAGGTTGCCATGGCGACAGATCAAGTCAGAATTGTCAATGGGCTTGCAGGCGGTGTTGCTGTCAACATTCAGCCATTGCTTCAGCCAATCAGATTTCAGCCACTCGTACCTGCTCCCTGTAAATAGGGAAGAAAGCACCAATCGGCTTCGTGAACATTAAAAGCCACGCCCTCCAAGACCGTACACTACCCTAGTAAAGAAAATCTGTAAACTCCAAAATTTTGCCGAAATAGAAATCTACCAAGTGTCCCCCAACTCCATCCTCTCGAACAGATTAGGTGAAGAATTTGTAAGAACTTGTCTCTTGATATCTGACTCCACCACCGTTGATGCTCCAAAATCTGTCTTAATTTGATTTTGAAACATTACAAGATTCATCGTAAAGCCCTAAGCTCTCAACCACCCCACGCCGACCCCCATCTCACCTGGTTTGGGAGGTAGCATCAGGTACAGTCTGGTGATCTCGGCGTGTCTGGCTCTCCCGCTGGTGATGCTACGCTGCCTCATGCCTGCCATCTCCTGGACCCACTCCTCAAACTGCGCCCTGTCTTGCCTCACGAGGTCTTGGAGATAGCCCGGTAAAGAATCCTCCGAAAGAGAAATACCTTGCCGCTCGGAGTTATCTGCTTGGTTTTCTATGAAACGACAAACTAACATATCAAAATTTGGAGGCGGTATTCACCACCCAACTAATCACCAACAGTTTCAATTTTGAATTCCAAAGAGCTGATAACAGCACACATATCACTTCTACTCACCTTGACTCGGCCTTCTGGTGTACACTAACATGTAGGCGTTCTTAGAAGCATGATGACCTTTGACATGCTTTGGCCGTTTTCCCTGCTTTGGTCCGCCACCTGTCATGAAAGCATGGATTACCAATGCTTTGACTTTGACCACAACCAAAAAAGGTACCTGAATCAATTACTCCAGAAGAAATATCCAAGACTGAAGACTTTCTTTTCCAAATTGCATCAGGTCACTGGATGACCCAAATGTAAAAAAAAACATATACTTTGAAACACTGACCTCACGACCTTTGACACAGGGTCAACTAATTTACATATCCCTATGCACCTAAATAGGCACTGCATTTGAAGTATTCTTACATGTGAGTGAATGGGCAATCAGAATACTGGAACCTGAAAAGTCTGCACAAATGACCAGTCTACAGATTATGCCGTTCTTGGCCAACCTTGTTCCATGGGCTGTGTGCATGTCCTTCCGCTAACACTTGGTCAAAAAAGTAATGACAACGAGCGTTTATTCTGAATGAATATATGCACAAACGTAAGCCTTACGTGTACTTCAAAGGCTACCTGCCCGACACGCGCTGGCGCCCATGATAACCCCCGTCCCGTGTGCAAGCCTATCGACAGCCATCCTAATTTTATATCTCTAAAATAAAACAGAGGGATATTTAAATTTCACAGCACCAGGGGTTAGATCAAGCAAGAAATGGTGGAAACAAACATAGTGCAGCGAGGCTGTACCGGACATGGGGACCAGGCTAATTCTCGGCCTTCTACCTACCTTGGAGGTCATCCTCCGAGCCCAGCTTGAGGTTCCTGCCCTCGATCCTCTCCACCTCCTCATCATTGAACTTGTGCCACGCCCCCTCCTGCCGGACGTGGGCCACATAGTGTCCAGAGTAGGCCGTGGGCCCACGGTGGATCAGGACGGCTGTCAGCTCGTAAACTGTCTCTGCGTCTGCCAGAAAGAGCCGATAATTCTGACCGAGTCTAAATTCTACACCATGTTTCTCAATACCGTTCATGACAAACAGATCTGGAAGTTAAACAATCCAAAGTCTGCCAAACTTTAACACTGGCTTCTGTCTAACTTTGGTGGTTTCAGCACTGTAAAACTAAGTCAGCATTAAATACTTGCTAGAGCGCTTGAGGCTAAAATTTTGTTCAAGTGCGAACAAGAAGCATCCACTATTCAGTTACTGCAAAACTACTCGCTGTAGAGACTTTGAGGTTGTAAGTGAAGACTTCCTCAGGTTATTGTCAGGCCACGCAAATGGGACTCACTCCTGATGAAAAAGTCGATACTCCTGCAGCGCAGTCAGATGGTAGAATATTTGAGTGACACATCTTGCACCACTGCGAAATGGCACAGCGCCCTCAACCATTATGGCATAAAGCAAATGAACACAAAAATACACTGTCGGTACTGAACCGTACCTTTCCTGGGGAGATACGGAGTCATGTCTAGAACTTCAGGGAACTGGATGAAGGAGTTCAACTTCTTCTTGGTTCCTGTTTGCCTGTTGATGAAAGAAGAGGTTAACCTTCAAAGAGCCAGGTTATTTTTAGCCCATCTCGCAGGGAAAGGGGGGGTGGATTCCAGCCCCCCCTCCCCGAATTCGGCTGTGCCATGCTCCATAGTTTTACTGGGCAAGCATGTTTAGACACTCCTCGTCGTTATAAAAGTGAAGTTTGAACTCAATCACATGTACGGTATTGTCGTTACGGTCATTTGCAGTTCAAGGTTACAAGTGTCCTAGCAAGTGGAAAAAGTATACACTTTTGGCTGAACTGTCTTGGAAAAATGGACACAGTGAAAGAATGGTATGTTAAATTGTCACAATATTGGTGTCAAAATCACTGTGCAGAGCTACTCTAAAAACTATTAAAGGCTCCGCTCCTGACAAAATTGGACTGCAGCGATATCAGAAAAATTGGTGAAGGGAGAGAATCCCATCACCCTTGCTCTTTTAGGGTTGAAATGGGGTTGGAATAGGCCTATATCATGCACCTGTATATCTCTTAAATTACCAACCACAGGTTGACCAATGAGATGCCAGAGAATGTGCTCCAAGCCACCTGTCAAATCAGGGAGGAGGTTGGGGTGGGGGAAATCCCAAAATATCCAGAGATGTAATGAAATAACATGAAATACCATGAATTCTCGTGTCTTTTCACAGCTAACGATGAGATTTCTCTCAAATATCGTTGTGACTATGACGGTGAATCTCCAACGGTTGAATGTCTAAAAAACCTCAAATTTGGGTTCAGAAATCCCCAAATCCAGCAAACTCCCAATAAATCATGCCCCTACTGAAATCCCAACCAGTGGCATTGAGTCCTAAACAGTATCATACAACAAATTGTCTGCGCCCACCTATCAAAGACGAATCGCAGTAGCTGGATATTGAGTACCGGTGGAAGCTGCTGCAGTTGGATGCGGCGAGTGGCGTCCTGTTTGGACCGGCAGTTGTCGCAGAAATACTGGTTGGCGCCATCAAGGTGCTCATCCTTAGCGGCAAGATCATGATAGATAGGTAAACTCAATTGAAAGAAACCTCAAGGACTGGGACATTAGAAAAGTATAAATGAGTTGTCGGAGGTGTAGCACTTGTACTTGAGCTTGAACTTAAACTCGAGTGCAACTCTCAAAGCTCACACTCAAAGCTGGTTCAACTGTGACAATGCCAGTAACAAAGCACACAATACCTTAATATGTAAGTTTGAACAACACAGAAGAAGGCATCACGAATACAGATTTCATCAAATCAACAAAAAGCCAACAAGAGTTTCGATGGGTATTTCGAACCCTTCACACAAATACATCAGTTCATGAAGTCTCTTTCTTTTACTCAAATTTTTCTCAGCTTGTAAGAATCTTCATTTCAGGATACTTCATATCTTTTCTAAGTAACGTAAAGCATAACAAGAACTACTCATTTGATTTGGCCAAGGCTTAGAGACCCTTGGAAAAAAAATCTTCCCAAATGTGTCAGACTTGAAGAACAAAGAAGTTGCAGTTACCTGTAAGAATTCTCCTAGGCTTTCGCTCAGCTCTCGGTGACCTTTGATGTTCAGGTCAAGTTCATAGAACTTTGACGGCTGTCTGGAACTGTGGCCGCAGTTATTACACCTAAAAAAGAAAGACAGGATATCATAAACACCTTTCAAGATTGCTCAAATTCAGGCGCCTAACCTCAATATGCGTGATGTCATCAATAAACTGAGATCAACATGTACTCACAAGAAAATGAAATTGTGAAATCGTATTCAGTAGTATTCATGAAGATTTGTTCCAGATAACACATTTCGCATTTAATCACTGAACACGAATGTTATTAACTTACCTGGTCACGTATGCGTACTGGCCTCGGAATTGCTGCTGGATGACATCCCGCACTTCAGGATGTGTTTGTTGTGACAGAGTTTCCTCCAGTAATGACATAAAAAGTTTACTGAACTCTTGGGCATCCTGCAGTTTTAAGAAACAATCCAAGGAAGGCACCCAAGAGATAAAAGCAATGTTCCTGACATGAACTGAAATTGCTCTCTTTTACTTGAAATAACTTGTTTCAGTCAAATCTGCCGTTGTGGCCACCTTCCTACTGCAGTAGCCTTGCAAAACTAGCCACCTTTGCTTGGTCCTGGTTTGATTCTCAAACAGACAGACTGTAACGACGTCTTGCTATTGCAGATCCTGCCTAGCACGGCCTGTGGCCAACCCAGATCAAATCATTTGTGTAGAAATATATTGCTGTGAAACCTGTGTACTCAGGACTCAAAAATGCACGTTGAGTTATGAAGACTTATTCTTGCTATCCTTGTGTCGTGAGAGCACAAGAAATTAAAAGAAACACAAGACGCAAAGTCTTTGTTTCAGACTGATTCATTTATTTGATAAATTAATACCGCGGGTGGCCACGATATCAAGGTTTAACTGTGCATGCTTTGACGGACAAGGTTAAAAATAAAAATTAAAGTACTGGGCGGCTCTATCTATGCTAATTTGAAGCTGATCAGTTCATAAAGTAGCAAGGCTGGAAGGACAGTACAGCGGGGAGTGAACGAGAAATACAGACCTGTTGTAGTGCAGCATCGAGACCCAAACAATTGACAAGGCCCGAGGGGTCAATATATCTGCAAGGAAACCCCAAACGACGCTGTGAAAAAGAGACTTAATTGGCGAACTTCAAAAATAAAAAATATCCATCCACAGCATTACAATGGTCTGACCGCAGCACACGTGAGACGGTGCCAGACAAAATTTGACAACAAAATGGCTTTGAGCCAAAGGCTGGTGCACGGGGAATGGGGTCGATGACTGGTCAGGTCGTGCCCCACAACCTACCTTCTGTTGCTGAACTGAAGCAAGGCAAAAAGTAGCTGTAGATGGCCACAGATGCACGTGGGTGTGTAACCACCTTCCTTGGTTGTGCTGCTTTCTGGCGGAAAGAAAAAGGTGTCTATTATTTTTAATCAACACAGAGACTAGGATCCAATGATCCATAAAATAAATGGTGAAGGTCAAATTACAACCAAAGATTTTTTCCTAGTTTTGTTTTCAATCTGAAATATTTACTAGAAAAAGCAAAAGAGGACAAGGGAACAGGTGAAGCTCACCATCTGCTAAATCACACAACTAGAGTTTCTGTGACTTTTACTTTTTTTTCTTCAAATTTAAGACAGAAGGAAAATTTAGAATCGGACATCAATCATTTCATAAACGGAACACACTTAATCAGCCGACAAAACTATATGGCACATAACATTCCTCAGAGAAGGGGTGGAGTTTAAGGTGATGGGGGGAGGGATAATCTTGATTCCTATGAACAGATTTGATTACTACTTGGTGGACTTTTGGATACTTGCCAAAGACAGGACTCACCTGATTGGTTGTGCTTATCTGTTGCTTGGCAACGCAATGGCCGCCACTTGTACATTGCTGCCCGGAAACTGTGGTTATGAAACCACACCTGTGACGAAGTTGAAAAAATGGAAAGCTAAAGAGTAGCCTGAAAATGTCTCCCAAGCAGATTAGAGACTGAAAGAGACAAGACATAAAAAAAACTATACAGTGTCTAACCGAATGTTTAAATCTAGAACTCACTTGCAAGAAAGTGTTGACATAACAAGTTGCTCCAAGATTCTTCAACCCCACAAAAGAATCCTGTATGAAAAAACGGAGGAAAAAAAGGACCAACAGGATTGTAAAGCAACAACACTGATCTCGGTGAAACAAAATAGAGAAACACAAAGGAAAGGTCCAGAGGGTATGCCGTTTTAGCACTCAAAAAACTTTCAGCATTTCAATACTAATAAACCAGTTCAGTATTCAAGTAGACAAGGGAACACTTAAACTATTGAACAAGAATAAGTGCTAATCCTCGAGACTACAACTGAGTATCTTTTGATGAATGAGTATGACACTGAGTACAAGAGTAACTCAAGTGCAGGAATTAGAAATACAAGTACAGAAAATGTGTTAAAGATGAGAATGAGCACTGTGGTCCTTTAAGGCATGGACATCTGATGAGTGTGAGTCATTGTAAAGGTTATTCAAATTGAGTATGAGTGAGTATGAGCATGAGCTGTAAGCATGTACCTCTGCCCTTCTTTCAAGGTTGGGGTCCTCCACCTCATGCCAACGCTCATCCTTGATGTCACATAGCCACTCCTTTTCTCCCAAACCCACCAGGCAGTTGGGATTCCCCTTACAGTTCTGCCTGAGTTGTGAAAAGATTTAATGATTAAATTAACGGCAAAGAAAGTCACACCAGCCTCTGAAAACAGACTTCAACACTCACTGCATAAGAATCTTGTAAGGAACATCCTAACGGCATCCACACATACAGTGCACCAAATTGAACTGAGGGTACACACATGAAGTTTGCGCGTCAACTTTCACGTAACATCAAGCAACACGCAAGTTTAAAGCAGTTCGGTCGCTCCAAACCACAATCTTGCAAAATCCTACAGAACCATCTGGTGGATTTTGAAGGACCTGGGACTGGCTTGACATCATGCCCCCTTCCCCCGGTCTTCCCCTTATGCAGTGATGCCCCAGAATGCGGCATAACGTGAACCTGCAAGTGTTGTGCTGACAAGCTGGTAGTCCAATGCGGTACGCTAGCTCCACATGCTCAGCTGTCACATCGTCGGGGCTGGTGGTGTCTGTCCACTGCCAACTTGCTTTGTCTAGCTGGACTTTGGTGGGCATCTTTCTTGTGGAGGTTGCCAAATTAAAAAGTCATATCCTACATTCAGCGCAGAAATATAGGAAGAAAACAGTGGCATCAGGCATGTACATGTACGGAGGTAAGCTTCTTGCAAAAACGGGGGCAGGATATTGATATTTTAGGCCCTAAAACAGTTGAACATTTTATAAAGTAAAACAGATTGACTGATTGCTCCCATTAAAAACAATGATCCTTTTCATGCAGCTATCACAAAGCACAAAATCTTCACAGAACAGGGTAGGCCTACGTGAGTAGGTGGTAGGCCTATTATTAATGATAATTGATGTAGGCCTAAGCCTGTGGAATTTATCAACTTTGAAGGACATAGGCCTAATGAGAGTTTTTCAGAGATTCCTTCTAGTGTGCCGGTACACTATTATTAATAATAACACTCGCCTGAATTTGTGCCCAATTTCCGGACGCCACCGTTTTTGAATTTCGAACTAAATTTCACGACAGTCTCACTCTCAGATATGACAGAAATTGCTGAACATGACAAAGTTTCAGCAAGTACTATGAAGGTAATACTATCAGTGAATGAACGTGAAGTTTTTCAACAAAGAGGAAAGTCGCGGGAAACGAAGCCTGAAAATACTCATTCATCTGTGTCAAGTGTCAATAAAGGGACTCGACATCTCGATAACGTTAGGTTTCAAGTCCTGCTCCTCTATTCTTCAAGTCAAAATTAATGAAAAGGTGGAAAATGCAGGAGAAAGCTTGTTAGAAAATGTAAGAAATTGAAAAATAATATTTTAAATGATTCTTTTCTCACCGTTTGACACGCAGGGTAGATGTTCTCAAACGCCACTGGTCGCTCGTCTTCGGTGGCGCGGCAGTACAGTGTGTGGAGGGATTCCAAAGAAAAAGGGAGTTTCATACCGCACGAGGGCGCTGTTGGATGCGAAATAATCAGGGTCCAGTCCACTAATTCAAGCCCCATTGAAAACTTTGTAAAATCAGCACCGTTCAGGGCCCAATAGCATGCACGCCAACATCCCTGAGATTTCTGAAACACAAATCAAATTCTTTTCTGGTCACTTATCTTTCAGTTTNACATTTTCATTTATTCCCACAAAACAAAATCACCCCCAAATAGTGATTTTTCCGAAGTCTGATTGCAGCCATTTTTCAAGTGGCAACCCTCAAATTTCTCGGGCACTTAGGACCATTTTTCAACCGTAGTTTTTAGCCCTTCTGCTCTCATATGAAAGTTCAAAGACCCAGGGAGTTGATCCCGGCAACGATTTACACAATCTCACCATTTTGGGGGCCAAACAATCTCCTTTTTCAAAAGATACTGTGGAGCACTTTTAATGCTAGTGAGCTGGCCGGAAATTCTCACTTGAATTAGTGGTCTGCACCCATCAAACTTGTATAAGTTCTAGAAGCTGACATTCTCAGCGACTTGGAGCAAAAACATCACAAAATCTTTTTATCCCAAAACGGTATCCCATACCGTGCTAAAGTGTCCCTCTCCCAATAACCTGCTCATAGTAAACTTTGATAATAGGGAGTCGCACCCTCCAATTTCAGATCTTACGAGGTTACAACATTGAAAATGCATTGGCCAGATTATCAACTTAAAAAAATCCAACTTCATAAACATTTCCAATTAACAGAGCTACAAATTGTGTGGAAAATGCAAAAAGTAATCTCTCTCGTAGTTAACAATTTTTTTCGACTTCAATGTACGACCCTAACACGATTTATGGGACATGCAAAATAACTGTAACAATTTTACCTAATGGAACAAATTACACGGTGATTTAATTATAAGCTCGGCCTAGTTATTTCAAATCAATGGATAAAATTAATACTTAGAAGAGTGAAGTCTGTAAAATTAATACCTAAAAACAAGCATCACACTCACTAAACGTGGGCTAAGTCTAATTTCGAGCACGAAATGCATACTACCCTCGTGTGGCGTAATTTGCCTGTCTTTGTTCGGATCCTTTTACGTAGAGACGATCGACCTGTGGCCCATTAAAAGAAGCAACATCACCACGGCACTATTTTTGTAATCTAGGGATAACCGGCCAAAAGCAGCTTCAGTGTTTTTTCCCGACAAATTATTCCATGCATGACAACTTATTAAAACAAGCCGGGACTTTGCACAGAAAGATGGGTTGCATTGTAGAAAAGGCCTCTCACCCACTCAATACCAGTTACTAGTTCATGACCATTTCAAAGCAGCTCGAAAAAAGGCGTCCCATCCCCGGGAAATTGATTTTTTTTTTAAAGTAAAAGAAAGGACAAATTAAAATTCAAAGGGAATGAAACCACAAATTTTGTTTTTAAAAAACTTCAAAAACAGATTTCTTGTGATTGTCGTATTGCTGATGATAAATATGATTCCCCAAAAAATTCCCCTACACAGCCTTCCTCCCCCGGAAAAAAATGCCTACACGCTCATGCATGGAAATTTTAATTGGGCCTAATCATCAGTTGCAACAAAAATGAGAATGGACAGTTACATGTAAATCTTTATGCAAAAAAATCCGAAGCTTATAGGATACTACAAACTAGGCACACACTGTCAGTGTACATGTGATGTATTTCCAACAGCGATGGCAACGACTGATGCATGATGCTTCAATTATTTAAATGCTTCCATTACCCATTACCTAGATATCAAAAGACGAAACTCAAGAGTGAAAAAAACATCAAGATTACGTTAATTCATTGTCAGTTAAAATTAAGTGGCAATAATCCAAACAAACTGAACAAAATGGAAGGACAACTTTGAGCACAAAGTTGTAGAAAGCCACCCACAAGAATCCAAAAGCCAACTGGTATAAAAATACAATATAAAAGTTGTCGAATCAAATCAATTAAACTTCGCAGAGAGGACATTTACTTCAGTTTACAAACACACCAGTCCGAGTCCTGTCACTGTCAGTGTACTCCACCCTAGACCACAAAAGACAGACAGTAAATGAGAAAAACATAAGCACATGTCAAACACTGCGCGAACGACACACAGTCACAAAAACTACCAGCGAAAAGGGAGATACGGAATGATATAAAAAAGCAACGTCGGTATACATGGGCCGCATACATTAGTGTCACGTATTTACAGAGAAAAAAGGAATGACTCACAAGAGACAATTCAAAAACGAGCAAGACTTTTTCCTAGGAAAGGAATGAATATACATATGTTACCAAGCGAAACAAATAGAACAATAATTATACTGTATTACCGAAGCATGAATAGCTGTAGACCTAGTTATTATCAAATCAATGGATAAATACCATGCGAAGTGAAGTCTGTAAAATTAATAACACGTAAAAACAAGCATCACACTGGCTAAATTTGTGCAAGTGCAATTTTGATCACAGAATGCACACTGCCTTGGTATGTGTGGCATGATGCCCGTCTTTGTTCGGATCCTTTTACGTACAGGCGAGCGACTTGTGGCATTTAAAAATTCGACGCGCAACTAGTCGAGTATGGGCTAAGTCGTCAACAGAGGGCAGTATTCATCAAAACTAACCGCGATTTTTGCGATGGAGCAAACGCAATGGCCATCATTGCCATGGAGAAGGATCTGCGCAGTGGCACCAAGAAATACTCATGTGCAGATAAGGCTTGTCGTCAAAACTCATGTCACTGTCGACACAGTGTGGACAAGACGGGTTTGGAATGGTGTGTGCTCTTGTTGGCCAGGAGATCATGTTAAAGTTTTGTCTCTGTAGCAACGCCGAATAGTTTTTAGTAATTTGTTCGTGTTGTAGGCCTAAAAGTTGATTGAACGTATTTAATTACAAATAGATGCTATAAAATTTGGAAGGATTCCACAGTAAGATTTGTGTTCTGTCGTATTTCTGCATGCTGTTGTCTTCTGTAATGGGTGATACATGTATATAGTCGTCTGCTGTCTTCTGTGGGTGCACCGCAGCAAATAAACTCCCATAGACAGCAGTGATAAATCCCCATACTCCACAAGTACATGTATTTAAAAATACTCACATCTCTCACAGGTATTCAGAAAAACGATGTTCGACATGTTCCTTTCAATTTTTAGTGGGTTGACAGATGGATTTTTTAGAAATTCTCCCCCAAAGTAGACCCCCCTATGAACGAAATTTCACTACCCGGAGAAGTAGTCATTTTGAAAATGCATCCCTCTGCAAAACGCCTAAATAGTGCCACTCTCGGACCCGAATGCATCCAAATTGCTAAGAATTGGAACCCCCGAGTCCGGGCCTGACGTTCAGTCTCATTTTTCTTTCATTCTCCAATTCCATGGCTCTCAGGACCCTCTTATATAGAATAATTTGCGTATATAACTTTTATCAATGAGCTCGGCGGACGGCTCTTGTGTCTATCTGTGTGCCTTCTGTTGTGCTTCACCATGTATGAGGTGCCGCTGCGTAGTACAAATAAATGTGACCCATGCATCCAACTCGGCATTTGTGGAACTGTTACCAGCGTGGCATTTTACTGATATAGGAAATTCTTTTCGGCCCTAAATAGCTATTTCTGCGATTGCAACATGTCGGACTTGAAACATCTTCAATAAGCTATAACCACCGGAACCGTGTAGGTTATGGTTTGATCAAACTGGGAAGGGAATTTACAAATGTGTCAGGCTAACCTTGTGTTATTTACCCCTCAGTGTTCACGCATTTACGTCACCACGACTTCAGGTTTAGATATGTATTCATTCCACCTCGCCGTGAACATGCTGTATCGGACTGATATGCAGGAAACTTATTTGCACACCGGTGACATATTAAGCGGGACTGGTGCTGCAGGAGGGTAATTATTTCCATTCAAATAATGTTGATCAGAAAAAAAAGTATCTTTTATGATTATATCGCATGACGTGCATTTTTATCCCGGGAAAGTAATACCCAGCTGTTCATTTCCCTGTGGGCGCACGGCTCTCAGATATCTTGCCGTGGCTCGCAAATGGTCTCGGAAAGATATGGAAATATGGCCCTTCCACGCTCCCTCACTGACAGATCTGTGAACAAATATCTTTTTATACCGCCTTGAGCAGAAGCACCCTTTCATCGGCTGAAAAGAACCATGGTCAGAAGTCCACCAAAAAAAGTGAGACTCGAGTGTTCATTTTGTTGGTAGCGATGCGACGGCAATGTTTGCGTTTCATAGTCGTTCGTGAACCAGCGATGCACAGTCACTACCAAAGGAGCCTCCGTTGCAAGTAAAATTTCACCCTCTCTTGGTCAAGTTCAGGGCTCTTGAAGGCCAGTTTCTAAGACGTACTCAACGTCAGTGCACTTGCTTTCGACTATGACTGACTTTGGTTCGTGTATTATCGATGATAAATGTCATTATTAGCGAAGTTTGCCATTTGTAGTTTGCCATAAGAATTCCCACTAGTATCGTCATATTATCTCCTGCAAACGCAGGCTGTTTGTCCTTATATAAACTATAAAACCGAGTGTAACGAACGGTTAAGAGCCAAGTTCTACTCATCCATTAGCAATGAATTACTGTATACATTATGACAAAGGTATAGGTGCTGAAAACTGAGTACATGGATTGGAATCATCTTTGTTTACAATACCACGAGCTGACCTCAGTTTTCGAATTTTGGTTTTAAGCTTGTTATGCATGAGAAAATCTTTATTTTCTGAAAATTCAAAACTTATAGGTTCTCTGAAAGGCTAACAAATTGATTTGGGTAAATTAAAACTGTTGACCTTCCTCTCTGAAACTTAACATTATTATTTCTCGGACTAACGCATTGCAATAGGTCACTTTGTGGAACGTGTAGACAATGCTGTTTTATTTCCACGAAGTGATTTACACAGTCTGGTATTTAGACCTTAAGTGATACCCTCTCGAATGAAGTTCGGTAATTCGGAACCAGTCTTTCGCGCTGTTTTGTGTCATTTTCATTAAGTGGCTGAACGTTGAAACTTATTTTTAACTGAGTTTCTGTTTCTATAAACGGCTGAGCTTAAGTACATTCCTTTTTATCTGATATTCGAATAAAATCGTGATGGCCATCCGTATAGAAGACAAAAAATCCTAAGCGACGCGTACATGTACTTGTGTAGTCAGTCACGGCAACAATACGGTGGCAGTGTCGTCTTTTGGAGTCTGCTACTCCGTCGGACCAGCCCACGTCAGCGAGCGGTCTAGCTTTAGAAGGCCGGTGACGTTGAGTCGTTTTGGCGGCAGTTTACCGCCTGGCCCGCAGCACAACAACGTCGACGAACGGGGACAGTAACGAGGGGACACTGCAGTTGATACCGGGGCCACACTTCTTTATTTACAAAACACAAGCTTTCGCAAAGGCGCTTCACATATGTTACAACTGCATGTATACTCCGCGGCACAGCAACATTAAGAAATAACAATGTGTGAATTACTGATCCTTTCGAGATTCAAAACGGACAATCATGATAATGAACTATTTTAAAGTGTGGCTCTGTGAATAGCAATCGAAACGGTGATTTATGTCTCAACTATTTACATTACTGTGCCAAACTCACACTCAAGTACAGGGCTTTTTATTGGTGTTTTTTCTCGGTCTGTCAGAATGGCTCATGAACTTCTGTCACGTCGACAGGAAATACTGTTCGTGTGGCACGGTTTGTCTCCCACAAAAAGCGAATCTAAACTGGTAAATATCCTCGGTTGACGGTTCAGAATGGGGGTCCTTAGCAGTCAGCTGCCGAGTTCCAAGTCGTGGGAAGACCTCATTATACGCCTACCCGTCTCACAGACGGCATGCGTACAGTGCAGCGTTCAGTCTCCGACTCTTGACAACTTTGCATTTTAAGTTTGCCCTCTCCTATTATCATATTCAACTGATATTATTTTTATTCCAAGTACCACACAGATGAAGTTCACTCCTAAAACCTCGCTCGAATCTGTGACAATTTTTTAAGCTTGCGTACAAATGTACGGCTGCTACACTCTGTCACCACTTTCACTTTGATAACCACATGTGAAAAGAGATATAGGGAGTACACAAATTGGTCACAAAACATATGAAGCGATAAGGGTATTTACAAAGCTAATATGCAGCCTTCCGGGGAAACCAAATGAAGTTGATGAAACATGCGTCACTATCAGGCTGCAGTGAGATACTCAGCTGTTTAGTTTCACCATGCAGCAGAGTGCACGACACGCCCGACGAGGATATTAATAAAAGGCGCCGTCCCATTCGGGCAGGGCTTCAATACAGCCGAGAGAGTACACAGGAGTCAAGTGACGGACATCCTTTTAACTACTCGACAATTCACTCACCATGAGGATCTTCGTGTTCTTCGTCTGCCTTTCACTGGCACTTGGTAAGCTATTTTGTTAATGCCTGTGACCTGATGAAGTTTCAGCTGACTATTAACCCTAAAACAGCCGAAGTGAAATCCAGCCCCTCAAACGTTTCTCCAATATCGTCACCGTACATTTCAAGTTTCACAAACCCACCCTCAGACACTAAAGTAACATCGTACAGTCATTGTGACACAAATTCTTATGACAATCAGACATGCTGTTCTTGCAAAATGTATATTTTTTCCGAGACAGGTCGGCCAAAAAGCAATTTTTCCTCATTCCATGTTCCACGCACGCGGGCGGAAACGTTTGTGGTCGTGAATTTCAATGACTACAACATCAGGAACCTTTGTCACATCTAATTAACATTTGTTCGTCTTGACAATGGTGTCTTTAAATGCGTGCTAAGTTTTAAAACGATCAGGTGAGTGACAGTAGAGTTCTTTGGGAGGGGAGGAATCTTTTTGGCTGTGGCTGGTCCAAACTAACCCGGCTCTTTGAAGGTTGAACCATGCGTTTCCGCCTTTGACCGAATAGCCGCACCAGTTTTCTGTCTACGAGGGCTTTGGATCAGTTTGCACCCTTACTCATATCAGAGAATTCTGGTAATTTTGCTGTCTGGTGTTAATTTCAACCTCGATCTCAATGGGTGCACCGATGTGATCTGAAGAAAACAGAAAAAAATCCTGTTCAGTTCTCTTCTCGTTTTCAGTTCGAAACTCAGTTTAAACCACCAGTCGCTTTTACCTGGGCATATTTATGAGTGAGTTTGTGCGGTCCTCTCTCCATGCTCAAGAGTGCAGAAATGTGTTGCGTACGCCTACATTTTAGATCACTCGTGCACACTCGCCCTATTCCCCTCCAGCGTTTTCACCAGACCGACTAAACGAGGGGAAATCGATCGTCGGCGGTATCGAGGCACCTTTAAAAAGTCGCCCCTATCAAGTCGCTCTCTTTATTTCCTCTACTGGAGGGTTTAACGGTCAGTACTGCGGTGGAACCCTCGTCAGCAAACGTTGGGTTGTAAGTGCCGCTCACTGTGCTGGGTAAGTATGTACCCCCGGCATTGTTGTGCTTAATCATCACCCAGTTGAGCTCGCTTAATTAAACTCGTTTAAAGTTGGACAGGTCACCAGTCAACTTTGCCTATTTCATTACGCGGTGTCAGGTGCACAAAAACTTTATGCCAGTCCTAACATGTCCAAAATGTTTCACCTGTCCAGTGATTCCAAAATGATGGACAAACTGTTTGTGTACCGAATTTAATCTGGACATATTATATTTACAGATTTAAAAAAAAATCATTAATGAAGTATCGACTAAATGTGTATAAAGGAATTTATGGTGTCACTGTCACTCCCTATCTGATGTGCAATGATGATTGGCTCGAGTCACGAGAAGAAGACTAACTGTGAGCAAGTTAATTCTTGATGAAAATCTTTTTACGCTGCACTGCACAGGAAACTCTGTCTAATCGGTCGTGCGCCGATCCCGGGCTGTAACCAAACAATTATGGACAACAGATGCGGGCAGTTTTTCCAGTAAAATTTCTGAATTTTAAATAGAGTTTTGAGTGGACTGGATTCGAGTCCAGTAGGAAGTCCGAGTCAGCCACTAGCCGGGTCCAAGCCAAGCCGGGTCCAAATTAAAACGACCCGAGTCGGAGCCGAGTCCGGACTCGAATCTCCATTACTGTGTTTAATGTTTATTCAGTTACACTGTATGTCTTTCCACTGGTTCCTTCTAACGCCGTATTTACAAATAGCTTACCTCTTCTTCTACTCGTATTCAATGTAGAGGGCCGGTGTACGTTGGGCTTGGATACCACGACTTAGACGTCAAACAACAGATCATCAAAGGCACGTGGTACGCTCACCCGTCACACAATTCCAAGACGTACGACAATGACATAGCTCTGATTTATCTGAGTTCATCAGCAAGCTTGTCGGATGCTGTACAGCCCATCAAGATTGCCAGCTCGGGATCAGACGTTTCAAGCGGCAAGAAGCTGTTAGTGAGTGGCTGGGGTAGACTGTCATGTAAGTCGTGTTCTTGTCCTTACTAGATGTGAAAGTACAATGTTGGAAATTGCACATTGTTATCTCCGTCGTTGTCTGTTACTCGACAGTGAACAAAGCAGCACATGTAGCGGTTTCCTTCTTATGGTTTGCCCTTGGTTTGAATAGTCACCAAATGATCTGTCTGCTTAAGACACAAATATTTCCTTAACCCGCAGGAATGGTAGCATACGAGCATATGGAGCAGTAATTATGTTCAGATACAATAACAACTTCCTCCAAATCATGTTCAATCTTCCATGCAGCCGGCGGCTACTTTCCGAGCAAACTGAGGCAGGCGGTGGTGTACGGAGTGAGTCGCAGCTCATGCAACAGTGACTATAGCGGCATTATCACAAACAACATGATTTGTGCTGCGGCATCTGGGAAAGACTCCTGCCAGGTAACTTCGAACCGCAACCAACCCAAACGTAAGGCAGGCAGATATGCCTGTCAGGGTGCAGGCTCTCAGACTGTCCGTGTGATCTGGCTCTCACCTGTAGCGCTCCCAAAGACTCTGTTCCACTGTAAATTTCCAAAGACTTTTCACAAACTAGCTCTGAATCACTCTTCGCCAGGTCTTGGGAAAGACTGACACGGAGCCACACCAATATCGCCAAAGTATTTTAGCCGAAAGAGACAGGTGTGGGTCCGGGGGAGGGGGTCATCCCCCCCCCCATTGCCATACATTTCTTATTGTTTGCCTAAAGGTGCAACCCCCCTTAACTTGAAAAGCACGGGTGTAGGAATCTTTGCGTGTTTCATTAGGGAAAAATTTCGAACCACCAGCCAGAAGATCTGGATCCACCCCTGATGAAACAAACTAGAACCCCCTCTCCTTCTACAATCAAGTGCACTTTGTCTGGTGGTCTCGTTCTTTTCTAGGGTGATAGTGGTGGTCCAATTGTCAGCAGCTTCTCCGAAAGCAGTCACTCCAGTAGCACAACGCTTGAGGGAATCGTCAGTTGGGGCTACGGCTGCGCCAGTTCCTACTACCCCGGAGTGTACACCCGAGTAGCCAAATACTGCGACTGGATAGCCAGTAAGACGTCACATGCAGTGACATGCTAGGCGCTTCCAATCCAGCATTCCTCGGCATTTCCATCATTCTCAATATTTTGAAAGTGATTCTATCATTTCTTCCTTCTTAATATAACAGCCAAACATGAAGTGTAATCATTAAGGAAACAGACTTCTGTGAAAGGATTTTGATTGAACTTAGTAATGAGTGAGCCGTTTAAAAGATTTGTTGGTGCAAACCTTCAGTCACTCATTACTGTAGCATAGTACGTGCTCCTATTTCAAGACGGGTCTGATAAGGAGTTAACATGTTCAGTATTAAATGATGACTATAGTCTGCTCCAAGGCATGTAAATGAAGCACCTGCTTTTCAATTAATCAGACACATTCGATGGTAGTTATTAATGCATAGCATTGGGCACCAAAATAGTTTAGTTTCCTTCAAATCGAACTGTCCTTTCCATCGCATTTTGATGTTGAAAAAAGTGGAAGTTCGTACCTACAAACAAATCTGATATCGGACACGTCCAAAGGTAAATCGTGTCCGAATGGTCTTCATGGAGCAATGGCTACGTTTACTGTAAGCATGTGCCCCTAAGCTTGTAATCAACGAAGCCTTAGACCCAGCTCTGGACACAATGATTCAGACAAGGTCTTTTTCTTTTACTGTAGTAAAGCTGAACAGCGACCTCTTTATGTAGGCCAACATTCCAGTAACAAAGAAAAATGTCAACGTGGGGCGATAAAACTAGCATGGCAAGAAATAAAATCAATATAACAAAACGTTAGTTTTATTTTGCTGTGTGTCACCTGCCTGCAGTTGTAACTAGCCCCAATTTATGAACGTCGGAAAACGGACTTTGTGCCCTAGGACGCCCTCACCGCTGTCTGAGAAACAGGCTGGGCCCACAGTCTGAAACATACACCTTCCCTAAAGTGTGTATATATATGTCGCAAACTAGATCAGAGAATATTGTTTTTAAAGATTTAAATATATGGAGAAAACATTTACAATTAAAGACAAATAATACACCCAGATATTAAAACATTCACGTACACAATCTGGATGAACTGCTTGACTTGGTTATCATAAGTAACACTCGGACTTTTTTTAAGATGCGAGGAGACGCCGTATGCCAAGTTTATCATAGAAGGGTAGAGCGACTTCAAGCATTTCTGGCACAACTTGAGGCACCTCATCTTGACTGATAGTTGTCTGGTGATCACTGTTGAAGGACTGGCTGCTTAACAACGTGCCTCGCCTTCATGATTTTACCCCAAATTACAGATTCAGTTTGGGATATTCTACCCCATTCAGTTCCAACATTTAAAGTCCACTTGTTTTTATGCAAAAGATTTTCCTATTTTATTACTCCATTACAACCTGTCCCTTGAAATATTACTGCAATTTGCTCTGTACATTCAGTTGGTTGGCAAGTTTTATATTCATTAATACATGTACACCCTACATTTGACATAACTGCTAGTTCTATTCCTTCCACTTGTCACAACCGGTGGATGACAAGATGACTACCCCGGTTAACTTTCTTTTAAACAGCAAGGACAGATATTTCACTTCCGACGATCACGACTGCCACACAGACCATTTTCATGTAGACAGAACAACACCTTCAGGTCTCCAAATGCAAATAGCACAGGAGTAAGTCCCCCTTAATAATCCGAAAATACTGTTAATTTAATCAACCACAGGGTTTCACAACCAAGCTTACACTTAAGTACTTTGCAGATTTAACAGTGAGAGTAACTTTTTCTGCAGGTTTAGAGTCGGCAGAGGGCGCTGTTTAGTCTTACTAGTAAACGCTTATCTGTTCCAGGGTAATTAAAATAGTGTTTGCATAATGAATTAGAGAAGGAAGAGTGTTTTAATGGGAGTTAGGCCGTGTCCAAAACGGGCTTCCAGAGCTACGGCTAGGTCTACTGTCTACGCATCTCCACGCATTTACAATGGAGTGAAAACCTAGACCTAGCTCCAGACAAGAGATTCGGATGTTATTTCAGTGAGGGCTAGTTTAATCGTACATGGCACCAAGGGTACTTTTACAACACGTAAGGGGGCTCTTGGGGGAGTTAGTTACATTAACTCTGTACATTGGGACTTTTCTCTCATGAGATGGCAAGCGCCATGCAAGGGCTGGTCAAGGAATTTACCATATGTTTGAGCCATCGTCAAACAGAGAAATTTTCTGTGAAAGATTATCACATTCTCTTCAAGATCAAGACATTACGCGGTATTCATTGTTTTCGTGATTTTGTGCAAAATAACTTTTAGTGTAAAAGCACTGGGCTTTTTTTGTACACGAGATAAATGGTTACGTGCATGCATGCATTTGTAAGACCAATACTGTGGGATGCTTATTACATATTGAAAAATTTTCATTTGGTTTATTACAATTTTTTTTCAACCTTATAAACAACAAAGAAGAAAGCAGCCAGGAACACTAACTCCCGTCGACGTCATTACAAAAAATGGTATAGAGTAGCAAAAATGCAGCAATATACGTGACAAAAGATAATTATCTTCGAGTCCCCGACTCACATAGACACAAAAAATGCATTGACCCGGCCCTGGTATGCAATTAAGTGCACAAAATGGGAAGCGAATCTTTCTGCACTATCACCAATCACGTCATGATGACGTCAGTCCGAGATGCGAGCAAAAGGGCTGTGATCAGTATTTTAAATGGTATAGTACTTAATGCTGCCGAGTCTTGTTTTCCTCCACGACTGATTTGGGTTCGTGGATAGTTGCCGTGTTTTTTGGCTTATCACTTTTTGATAGGGAAGGCAGGAAGTATTATTGACGATAAAAGTCATAACGAGGTTGGCATTATATAGTTTGCCATAAGAATTCCCACTAGTATCTTGAAATTATCTCCCGCAAACAGAGGCTGTTTATTATATAAACTATAAACCCGAGTGTAACGAAGGCCACAAGGGATTTATATGAAGCCAAGTTCTATACTTACCATTAGCATTGAATTTCTGCAAACATATAGGACAAAGATAATGGTATTTTCTCGGTCTGTCAGAATGACCCACGAACTTCTGTCACTTCAACAGAAAATCTTGTTTGCATGCATACGATTTGCCTCCAGTGAAAAGCAAATCTAAACAGGTAAATATACCCGGTTGACGTTTAAGATGGCGGTGCTATGTACCAGAGCTGCTGAGTTTCAAGTCGTGAGAAGACATGCACCATTAAACCCGTCTAGTAGACGGTGAGTATAGCTCGAGTAGACGGTGAGTATAGCTCGAGTAGACGGTGAGTATAGCTCAGCGTTCAGTCTCCGAGTCTTGACAACGTCACAGTTTAAGTTTGCAATCCCCTGTTATCAGCTTCAACTGATATTTTCAAAGAGCCGAACTAAATTGAGTTCAAATGTCCGCTCCTAAACTTGCTTAAGTCTACAAAATATTTTTCAAGCTTGCGTGCAAATTTATGGCGGGCTGCTGTTTTCGGTCACCACTTTCACTTTGATAACCATTCGTGACACAGAAAGAAGGATGGCGCAAGTTGGTCACTTAAGATAAGATGCGATAAAGGTGTTGACAAAGCTAATATCCAGCCTTCCGGGGACACCAAATTAAGTTGATGAAACATGCTATCAGTCACTATCGGGGCTGCAGTGAGATACTCAGCTGTTTAGTTCCACCATGCAGCTGAGTGCCTGACGCGTCCGACGACGGCTTTAATAAAAGGCGCCGTCTCGTTTGGGCAGGTGCCCACTAAGCCGAGAGAGTACGCGGAAGTCAAGTGACGAACATCCTTTTAACTACTCGACATTTCACTCACCATGAGGATCTTCGTGTTCTTCGCCTGCCTTTCACTGGCTTTTGGTAAGCTATGTTGTTAATGCCCGCGACCAGCAGGTTGCCCCGGCTGTACTCACGTAGGTTCATGCCCCTCACTTAGTTTGTGGGCATGCGTACTGAATCCCACTATAGCCAGAAACCAGTAAAATTGCTCTTAACTCGGGCAGGTGGACTCCAAAAGTCATCCATCATCATCTAGATCAGAAAAAGTTGTTTACCCCTCATTTCCATACCGATTAGTATTTAAACACAAAAATCTATGTTGCTAACTTGCACACGATAAAAATCTATTTCCGGCCAAATTTGTGCACGTCTTTCTTACGTACCTCCAAAGTAACAGAGTCAGAAGTTGAAAGTGAAGCCAACATGTAGAGGGGATTTTTTTCATTTTTGCCGAGTTTTTCCTCACGTTTCTCTACTTGTGAATGGTGAGGAATATCATGAACGCTCTAATGAGTATCATGCAAGAAGGAAACCTTATGGATGAGAATGGAATGTTTTTGTTTGGGCCTTTTAGTCGGGCAATTTGACGTCGTTGTACATATTAGTGCAATGCAGTAAAAGTCAACTCGTACCCAAACGCACTCGTATCCAGGTGTATGGACGTGTGCGTGTGCATAATGCCCTAAATCCGGACATCTTATTTTTGACCGCTGTCGGTCATGGCGGACTCGGTGCGGAAATTAGAATCTGCATGAAAAACGAACGGCATTTCTCATAATTATTCTTTGTCGTAAAATTGACATTTTCCACTTCTTTGATTAATTTCCGCAGATCTTTCTTATCACAAAATATTTTATATCACCATTTGATAGATTCTTGGCAATTTATTCACAAACGAGGTCTTCAAGGGAAATGGCTGGACAAATTCCTCACCGATATGCGTCGTCTGCTAGAATATTAATTTTCAGGCCGACGACCATATGTTACTCTTGCGCATGCGCGAATTCATAAACTAATGCACTTTGATGGAGTTACAGCAGACTCCATGTTTTAACCCTAAAACACCCGAGGCGGAATCCAACTCCTCAAACGTTTCTTCGATATCGCTACCGTACATTTTTCTTTTCACAAACCCACTTTTAGACACTTTTTCTTGTGGTCATTTGACACACATTTTCTAACGATCAGACATGCTGTTCTCACACTTTTTCGATCAGGTGATTGATAGCCTTGGCCAAGGCGTTCGTCATTCGTCGCAGCGTAGCGTGCACTAGCTGCTCGCTGACGTAGTACGTAGGCTACATGCGTACGTACCTGTACATACCTGCATACATTACAAAATCAAGGCGTAGAGCGACCTCATGCGGTCTAAGAAATATGTAAATCAGCTGAACCAGGACGAACGCCTTGGTGCAACTGTCCGCAGAAGCTTCTGTTTTCGATACTTTTGCAGTTGGTTTTTGTAGCGCAAGACCTCGTATGTGAATATGAATAGATGCAGATATGCAATGAGTGCACAGTGACCAAAATCAGCTAAGTATACATAGGGCCTATGCATAATACATCAACGCATCATGTAAAATAGCGGACCTTCCGAGACGACTTCAGCATGACGAGTTTTCATGTTGCTTGAATTCTGCTGCAGATTAAATGTTGGATAATTTTCGTGCCGAGCAGTGGCAAGCCTTAGAATACTTTCTGACGGGTTACGACGTTTTCGTGAATCATCTGTTATCTTTTAGGCTGCACCGTTCTGCTCGGAGCTCCTCAGACCAGATACAAAGCCTATAGCTTTCGTGAAGTTGTGACCATTGTCATTTAATTTGGCAATGCAAAAATGGAGGGCGCCGACCAAGTGTGTATATTGCAACCGATGAAGCCAGACAGCGTTAGTCCATTAATTTAAATCGTTGGGGGAGAAACAATCACAACCAGTACAGCAAAGCAAAGGCGCCCTAAACCTCCGCTTACTCTGATCAGCCGGCAAAATGTTGTTGACTTTTCATGTACATAAATAGCCACATGCGCGTTCAATTAACCTTTGACCTTACGTCCGACTTGAATTATGTAGTTACAATGTGGCAATGAACCAATCCAAAAGCATATTCAAAACATCAGCCTTTGTCATTAACTTAATGAGCATCGGCCAACACAGCTTGAACCTCGGACGGTTGCACCAAGGCGTTCGTCATGGTTCAACTGTTTTGCATAATTTCTCAGACTGTGTGAGGTCTCTTGATTTCGAGCGGCTGGTGCGCGCTGCACTGCGCGTTGCGACAAATGACGAACGCCTTGGCCAAGACTAGGTGAGTGGCGGCTGAAGGATATCTCCAAACTAACTCAGCTCTTTGAAGGTTGAACCATACGTTTTCGTGTTTGACCAAATACTAGTAACCGAACCAGTTTTTTGGTCAACCCTGGCTTTAGATCAAGTAGTACCCTAACTCATATCAAAGAATTTTAGTAATTGTGCAATCTGGTGTATGATTTTTACCCCAATCTCAAAGAGTGCACTGATACAAAAGTAGACAAAGTTGAGGTCTCTTCTCGTCTTTAATTCGAAACTCAATTTAAACCTCCACTCGCCTTTACTTGAACATATCACTCCCGATACTCAAGAGTGCGCCTAAATTTTGGATCATTCAAGTAAATGTTGAACGTTTACTTTTCTGCCATCTTGAAAAAAAAATTATGTGATGCACCTCAGGTCTGATTGTGTTTTCTTGGATACCAGCGCGCATTCCTGCAGTTTGTCCGTTCAAAAGTACGAATTTAAGCTACTCGAATGCAGCCAATAAGACGTTTTCTGTTTCCCTTCAGCCTTTTCACCAGACAGACTAAACGAGGGGAAATTGATCGTCGGTGGCGTCGAGGCACCTTATAAAAGTCGCCCCTACCAAGTCGCTCTATTCGCTTCATCTACTGGGGGGGTTAACAGTCAGTACTGCGGTGGAACCCTCATCAGCAAACGTTGGGTTGTAAGTGCCGCTCACTGTGCTGGGTAAGAACCCCTTGCATAGTTGTTCCTATGACCCAACTGACGTAACTCATGTTGGTCTCATCAAATATTGTACGATTTTTTTGCCCTGTCCGACGTGTCTTATAGCACTGTATGCTCAGTGTTTGCCCTCGAAGGCTTAATAAAACCACAAGCGTACTCGAGCGAAACTCGAACCCACAACTTACTGTCCGGTGCAAAACACTAGGTATACAGTGCTATAACACACTTTGGGCAGGGCAAAAAAATCCCCTTCGCAAATCCGTCCCTGGAAGAAGTTGTTTCTCATCAGCGACTCATTTGGCCCATCTCCCTGTTCTCGTCAGGTTCCTTCTTCACCTCACTTTCATCGCACTTGCCCTCAATACGGGCGATTTACAAAAGTGGGCCTCCAAGAGTTTGCAAAGTGTTGGCCAATCAAATCACAATGCGTGAAAATCTGTCTGCACCTTCCAAACGCGCATTGGGTTGACAAATTCGCACATTATGATTGGCCAATGCGTTGCAAGCTCTTGGAGGGGCACTGTTGTGAAACGCATGTGGCCTGCATTGTTCACGCATTGTGGACTCCGTACGTTTGCAGATTTTACCCGTTAACTGGTAACGTCATCGTCTGTAGGGCTGGATGGTATGCTGCGCGCATGCACTGATTCCTGCGTGTACACGACTTAAACAATACTAGAGCAGTACGAGACTCATGTGAAAAGCGACGGCTCTCACTAAAAAACAGCATTGTCATTGTGACATTACGAAGTAGTCATTAGCAACATATCTCACGTGTTTGTTAATATTTATCAATTTTGCACCGAACATCTTTCCACTTATTTACTCGCACCGTTACAAATACCATTTCTTGTACACATATACCAATGCAGAGGGTCAGTGTACGTTGGCCTCGGATACCACGACTTAGAAGTCAAGCAACAGATCATCAAAGGCTCGTGGTACATTCACCCGTCATACAATTCGAATAATTACGATAATGACATAGCTCTGGTTTACCTGAGCGCATCAGCAAGCCTGTCGAGTGCCGTACAGCCCATCAGGATTGCCAGCTCAGGATCAGACGTTTCAAGCGGCGAGAAGCTGTTAGTGAGTGGCTGGGGTGCCCTGTCATGTAAGTCGTGTTCTTGTCCTTGCTAGATGTGAAAATACAGGTACAATGTTGGTAATTACATGTTGGTATCTCTGTCGTTTTGTGTTACTTGACAGCCAACGAAGCAGCTCATAATTAGAGCAGTGTTTTCCTCTTTGTGGTGTGCTCTTGGTTTGAAAAGTCACCTGCACGATCTGTCTGATTAAGGGAAAGACACAACAGGTGATTTCTTTACTCGTTGGAGCGGCAACAAACGGGCATATGGAGCAGTTAATGTTCAGACTCAATTAACAACACGCTTCCATTCATGTTCAATCTTCCATGCAGCCGGCGGCTCTTATCCGAGCAAACTGAGACAGGCGGTGGTGTACGGAGTGAGTCGTAGCTCATGCAACAGTGACTACGGCGGCAGTATCACAAGAAACATGATCTGTGCTGCGGCATCTGGGAAAGACTCCTGCCAGGTAGGAAAACCGAGCCGTTACCACCCTACAAGCCAGGCACGACAGGCACACCGGGTCTGGGTGCAAACTTTCAGACCGTCTGTCTGATCTGACTCTCTAATACAGCGCTCCCAAAGACTCTGTTTCCAATCTATATTTCCAAAGACTTTTCGCAAGTTGGCTCCAAGTCACTATTCGTCAGGCCTTGGGTAAGACTGACACAGAGCCAGACCAATACCACCAAAGAACTGTCACCAAAATAGACGAGCGTGGGTCCAATGGAGGGGGTCACGACCCCCCCCCCCCACTCATTGCCATCCATTTCTTATTTTTCTTAATTTTTTAGCTTAGAGGTTGCAACCCCCTTAACGTAAAAAGCATAGTGTAAGGATCTCCTTTGCGTGTTCAGTTATAGAAAAATTTCGAACCACCAGCCATGAAATCCCAAGTTCACCCCTGATGAAACAAATCAGAACCCCCTCTCCTTCTACAATCAAGCGCACGCTGTCTAATGGTCTTGTTCACTTCTAGGGTGATAGTGGTGGTCCAATTGTCAGTAACTTCTACGAAAACAGTCACTCCAGCAGCACAACGCTTGAGGGAATCGTCAGTTGGGGCAACGGCTGCGCCAGTCCCTACTACCCCGGAGTGTACACCCGAGTTGCCAAATACTGCGACTGGATAGCGTATTATACATCAAATGTCGTGACATGCTAGGCGCTTTCAAGTCAGCATTCCTCGACATTTCAACGATTCTCGATTATGAAAATGATTCTATCATTTGCCCCCTCTTAAAATCGAAACATGAAGTGTTGTAATTAAGGAAATAAACTTATGTGAAAGGACTTTGATTGTACTAAATAATTAGTGAGCCGTTGCCAAGATTTCTAAATAGTTACCCGCCACCCTTCAATTACTCATGTCACTGTAGCAGCACGTGCTCCTATTTCAAGACAAGTCTGGTAACCAGTGAAAATGTTTAATATTAAATGATTATAATCTGCTGCAGGGCATGTAAATGTTGCCCCTGCCTGTCAAAAAACAGATACATTCATATTAATGACAGTAACTAAGGCATTGCATCGGGCACCAAATCGGTTTAGTATCCTTCGAATCAAACTGTCCTTTCCATTGCATTTTGATGTTAAAAAAGTGGAAGTTTGTTGCCGCAAACGAATCTCATATGTATGTATAAAGTTCAATCCTGTCCAGGATATCTTGGAGCAATGGCTATTCCTGTTGCAAGCATGTACCTGCGAGCTTGTGATCGGCGAAGCTTTAGACCTAGCTCTAGACACAATGATGCAGACAAGGTATTTCTTTTACCGTGGTAAAGCTGAGCAGCGACCTCTATAATTATGCTGATCAACATTCTGGTAACAAAAAATGGTATCAACGTGGAGCGATGACACTAACATGGCAAAAATAAAATGAGTAATAAACGGGAATGTAAAAAACCTGCTAGTGAAACATCAATTTTATTTTGGTGTGTGTCACCTGACTGCAGTTGTAGTTAGCCTTATTTACGTCTCCAAATAGATTTTGTTCCCTAGGACGTCCTCACTGCTGACTGAGAGAAAGGCTGGGCTCGCCGTAACGTATCTGAAAGTTAAAAGGTCAAAGGTGAAAAACGTATTCTAGAATGTACACGTACTGCAATCGCTCACTGTATAGAGCCTGAAAGTAAAGGTCACGCAGCGAGCTTCCTGAACCCGGTCTACCTATGGGGATTTTACACGGGCCGTCCTATCAAATCCTATAATTTTGAGGAAAATGATTTCTAACTGAAACCACCCCGAGAAACGCTCACGTCGGAATTTTCCCCTTGTCCTCCTCGAGTAATAAATAGGAAATGTCACCCAGAGATGGGTAAAAACGAATTTCATTAACGACCTTTTGCTTCACGCAGTATCGTTCCTAGGTCTCCTTGTTTAAGCCTGTTTGTTTTCATTACCCGTGCTAACGAAGAAACGAGATTGTACAACGTTGCAAAGATTTACCTACCTGTAGTCGATGGGTTCCAGACTCTGTTGAGTTGACGTGACGCAGTTCTTGTCAGCAAAAGGTTAGATTGTACACCAGAATCTTTTGTAAAAGCATATTATTGTTTTAAGTTTATTTCTTTATAAATTTTAAATTCTTCAAGATATTTCGGTTTGTTTTTATATTCGGTTTTTACCCAAAGACTACCATAATCCTTTATTGTTAATGTGCGTGCGAGACCACCGAGCTGCATAGTTCTTCATGTATTTTGGATATTCGGAAGTGACAGGTCAATTTTTGGCAGTATATTTGTCTTTAAAGTCAGGTCATTTTTTAGCTTCCATAAATTGATATGGTAGCAAATATTTTATAAAAGGCTTTTTTAAGAATTGAGTTTTTAAGAAGTATCCAACGCAAATATATTACCAATTCTAAAATTTCTACACGTTATTTTTCTTATCCAAGGGTTCCGGAAGCGCGCCATCAGCGGTCAGCTTTCAGGCTCTGTTGTGTACAATGTATACATCCAAGGGTGTGTGAAGGACTGCCTTTGCAGAGGTTGGATTGACCAGATAAATTGCAAGGATAAAACTGCCGATAATACTTCCTAGTTTGGGTTATTGGGCTAGTTTGGAGCAGTAGATATATACAGTACATTGTCTGCAGCTGTCCTGGAACTTTCTTAGAGTCTGGCAGAGTCGTAAGTTTTCAGAGTTTTTGTGTGTTTGTGAAACCTTGTCGATTGTAATACTTCAGTGATGTGTAAATGCACGATCATGTAGGCATACTCAACATGATGTTGGGCGATTCAAAGTGTACCCGCTAAAGTTGTAATGCTAGTCTAACACACGATCCGACGACCCACCGCTACTCATAAGTAGGGTTGCACACTAAATACGCCATGCTATGAGTAGGTTGGCATCATTCGATCGTTGCATGAACTACGTTCGCCACACTTGTAAGCTAGACCAGTTTTAGATTGTGTACCGTAGCAGTAACTTTCTGTTGTGTGGCAAGTGGGGCGCTTTTAATGCCACGCTTACAAGCGTGGCGAACTTAGTCCTGCTTTGATCCAATGATACCAACCTGCTTATAGCATGGCTTATATGGTGTGCAAGGTCTACTTATAAGTAGCGGCAGGTAGTCGGATCGGACGAATCTGCTGCATCGGCACGTTTAGGAATTCAATGTTTATTTCAGTGTTTATTTCATTTGCATAACATGTACGGATACTTTGTGTAATTTGTATTAAATTAATTTGTCAATTGATCGAAATATTTTGCTTATTTTTAGATTAAACCTTGGCAAATTGACATAATACTTGGGGCTCTTGAGGGAGGATTTTGACTCGGTGCATTGGTTACGCGGGACTTCTCTCTGTCATGGACGGTAAGCACCATGTACAAAAAAGGGCTGGTCAATGGAATTTACCATGAGGTCCAAGCCACCCGTAAACAGAGAGGTTTCCTGTGCAAAACACATTCTCTTCGAGATCAAGACATTACTTGGTATTCATGTGCTCGGTTCGCGATTTTGTAGAAAAGAACTGTCAGTGCCAAAGCCAGTTTGTATACAAGTATGTACCGGTTACGTGCATGTATTTTGTAGGATCCACGCCATGAGTTGCTTATCATATACTGAATAATTCTGATTTGTTTCTTTAGAAGTTTTCCCCCTTATAAACAACAAAGACTCAAGCAACAGTGAACAGTAGTTCCATCGACGCTTCACAAAATGTTTAAGACTAGCAATAATTTACTAATATAACAAGAAATATCTTTGAGTTTATCCATTGAGGACTGTTGCAAGGCATCTTTTATTTAACTAAGCAAAAGCTTGCCCAGAATCACAAGGTTTGGCAACAGGAGAATTCAACTTGTTATGTTCACGTGAATTAAAGAACTCAGTGTACCGGATTTGGGTCAAAGTTAACCCGCAAAAGGCTTATTGTATAGTACTTGATGCTGCATGTTGAGTCTTGCTTTCGACCATGATTGACACTTTGTTTCAAAGACAGATTGACACTTTGTTTCGAAGACAGTCACAATGTTTTGGGGCTATCATTTTGTGATGAAGGCAGCAAGCATTATCGATGATAAAGATCGCACCGAAGTTAGCCATATGTAGTTTGCCATAAGAATTCTCACTCGTATCGTCAATATATCTCCTGTAAACGGAGCGCGGCCTGCAACTAAGGTAAGGGTCAAATGAAGCCAAGTGCTGCTCTCTTGGAATTTTCTCATTATTCTAATAGTTCAGGGAGCCGACTTTTTTGTGGCAAAGTTCACCGAAAGCAAAATGTCACTTCAACAAAAAAAAATCTTGTTCGTGTGACACGATTTGCCTCCCTTGAGTAGCGAATCTAAACGGAGAGATATCCTTGGCTGATGATTAAGCAGGCGGTTCAATGCAGTCAACTGCTGGGAAGATACTATTAAAACCCGTCTAGTAGACGGTGCATATAGCTCAGCGTTTTGTTTGCCCTTTCCTATTTTCGGCTTCAACTGATTTTATTTTTACGAAAGAACAAAACAAATTCAATTCAAATAAATTATGTGCTCTTCACACCTCTATGGAAGCCCGTTAGTGCCAATTTTAACTATGCAAAAATACTTGTTATTGCGAAATAACGCAATAACTTAGCGAAATAACGCAGTACCCTTGGGAAATAAACGGCATAGCTTGCGAAGTAACCCAATAGCTTAGCGAAATAACGCTGTAGTTTTGGCGATGTTGATTGTTGCTCCCTGTTGATAGACCAAACATCGTTTCTAGGGTCCTTAAGTTTACGATGATTTTGCTGCCAAAAAGAGAGAAGAAGAAGCTCACGAGTTTGCGTAATGTTAGCTTCTCTGGAATGCTGTTTCACGGGAAATCACTCGCACTGCTCGCTCACGGGTGCGTTCGAGCGAGCTACTGGTGTTTACTCTCACAATGGCTGCAGTCTGACCGACTGGTCAGCAAGAGTATACTCTCGCTAACGTGGGAGTATACTCCAGCACCAATGCGCAGGCATCCTATTCCTTGTTAACAGGATTAACCGTGCGAGCGTACCCGAAAAGTCAGTAGAACTATTGCGTTATTGGCTTTTCTGTTATTTCGCAACTGTATTGCGTTATGTCGCAATGTTATAGCATTATTTCGTAAAATTATTGCGTAATTTCGTCATAAGTACTTTTGCAGAGATAAACTTGGCACTATGGGCTTGCATAAACGTCCCATAGAATCTACAACCAACTTTTTTCAAGCTCGTGTACGAATTTAGGGCTGCTGTTTTCCGTCACCACTTTCGCTTTCATAACCAACTATGAAAACAGCAATAGGGAGTGCACAAATTGGTCACATGAGATACAAAGCCTTCAAGGCACACTAAATTAAGATAAGGAAACATGCGTCACTATCAGTATGCAGTGAGATACTCAGCTGTTTAGTTTCACCATGCAGCAGAGTGCACGACGCGTCCGACGAGGGCCTTAATAAAAGGCGCCGTCCCGTTTGGGCAGGTACCCACTAAGCCGAGAGAGTACACAGAAGTCAAGTGACGAACATCCTTTTAACTACTCGACATTTCACTCACCATGAGGATCTTCGTGTTCTTCGCCTGCCTTTCACTGGCTCTTGGTAAGTCATTTTGTTAAGGCCCGCGACCAGCAGGCTGCCCCAGCTTTACCTTGATGAACTTTCAGCTGATATGCATGTATTCAGGGAAAAACACGAAGCGGAGTCCAACCTCAAACGTTTCTCCAATATCGTTCCCGTGCATGTTTTTTTCAGAAACCCACCCTCAGACACTTTTAAGTAGCATCTTGTGGTCATTTTGACACAAATTTTTTAACAATCAGACATACTGGTCTTGCACAATGCTCATTTTTTCGAGACAGGTCAACCACTGAAAAGCAACTCTTTTCCCATTCCGTGTTGCATTCACGTGGGCCGAAACGTTTGTGATCATGTATTTCAAATGACTACAACATTAGGAACCATTGTCACACCGAATTGACATTTGTTCCTCTCGACAATGGTGTATTTACATGCATGCTTCAAAAGTTTCAAAATAATCAGGTCAGTGACAGCAGAAGGGGAAGAATCTTTCCCCTGACGTGGGTGGTCCAAACTAAGCCAGCTCTTTAAGGGTTCAACCATGCGTTTCCACATTTGACTAAATAGCCGTACCAGTTTTTCTGGTTCTACGATGGCTTTTGATTTGTGTGTATCCTAACTCATATCAAAGAATTCTGCTGAATATGCTGTCTGGTTTATGACATCAAGCCCGATCTCAATTAGTGCACTGATGTGAGCTAAAGAAAATAAAGAAAAGGGCAATTCTCTTCTCGCTTTCAGTTCCAAACTCGGTTTGAATCACCAATTGCTTTTACTTTAGCAGATCTGAGAGTTAGTTTGCTGGTGCCACTCTTCGATACTCAAGAGTGCAGAAATATTTTGCGTGGGTGTAAATTTCGGATCACTCGCGCGAACTTTCAACGTTACTTTTCTGCCACGTGAAAAAAAAATGATTGAAAGAAGTTGAGAGCGAAACTGGTGATGGGCTGGATTGTTTATTTACCGTAGTCTAAAAAACAGAATAAACATGACGGAACTAAAAAAATATGTGTAAAAACCTAGATGACACTTCATATTGGCAAATCATGACGCACGAAATTTGTCGACCCTTCCACTGATCGGCCAACGCGTTGCAAACTCTTGGTGGCGCGCTATTGTGAAATGGCTGTATTATAAATGAATCAAGAGAAGGCAATGTTGTGCGCTCCCGTGGAAGAGACGCTTTCGGACAATGGTGATGCACCTGGCTGTCTGATCGTGAATATATTCTTTCGCATAATAGCATATATTCCTGTCGATCGTCTGTTCAAGAATCAAAAGTATAAAATTCGTGTTAACATGAGCTCAAGCTACCCAAATGTAGCCAATAAGATTTCTATTTCCCTCCAGCGTTTTCACCAGGCTGCCTAAATGAGGGGAAGTCAATCGTCGGCGGCATCGAGGCACCTTTAAAAAGTCGTCCCTACCAAGTCGCTCTGTTCAATACACCCAATGGGGGATTTTACAGTTTTTCTTGCGCTGGAGTCCTCATCAGCCCACGTTGGGTGTTAACTGCCTCTCACTGTGGTGGGTAAGTACCCCCGCATAGTTGTTTTGAATCATTACCCAAATGAGCGCGCTAATGTTGTTCTCATCGACGACTCATTTGACCCACCTCCTAGGCCTGTTCTCGTCAGTGTCCTTCTTTGTAATCGACTCAGCTTCACTATGCTTGTCCTTAATTATTCGTGGGTTGTGACTCCGTGCGTTAGCAAATTTCGCTTGTGGTAAACTGGTAACGTCATCGTCGGAACGGCTGGTACACTGCGCGCATGCACTGATTCCTGTGTGTAGTAGCCTGTACGGCTTTGAAACGTACTATGGCAGTGCGATTCCTGTGAAAAGCGACGGCTCTACACCCATCCCCAATCTCACTGTGACTTTATGAAGTAGTCAGGAACAGAGAGTACCATCTCATGTCTTTATTCATTTGTACTGTAAGTCATTTCATAGTTTCCTTCGGTCAGTGACGCAGTATTTTTCTTATACACGTATACCAATGTAGATTGTACGCTGGGTTTGGATACCACGACTTAAATGTCAAGCAACAGATCATCAAAGGCAAGTGGTACCGTCACCCGACGCACGGTGACGACATAGCTCTGATTCATTTGGACGCACCAGCAACCTTGTCGGATGCCGTACAGCCCATCAAGCTTGCCAGTGCTGGTTCAGACATTTCAGGAGGCGAGGAGCTATTAGTGAGTGGCTGGGGCTCCCTGTCATGTAAGCGTTGCTCCCGTCCTTGCTAGATATGGAAGTATAATTTTGGTAACAGACCGTATTCACGGCGTCTTCAATTTCAGTCGTATTCCTGAACGTATAGCATAAATTCGAAACCCGTAATAGGATGGTACCAGGTGATTTGGGGGGTCGGAATGAAATTGTAGAACATAGTCTGGTTCTTTGAATTCAACGTGTTCAAATAAATACATTGCGCCAGGGAATATGACTGAAATTGGGTCCCCGCGAATATACCTGAACGTATTGTAGGCCTATACATTAAAACCCTTTATGGGCGGTACCAGGTGATTTTAGTGGGTCGGATTGTGAAATCCGGGAATAGAGTCTGGTTCTCTTAATAACTTTAACGTTTTCAAATGAATCACTACGTTATGGAATCTAACTGCAATTTGGTCCCCCGCGAATACGCTTTATCGCATATTGTTATCATCGTTGTCTGTTACCATGTATAGTCGACAGCCAACCAAGCAGAGCAAGTAGCGATTTTTTTTCTTAAATTTGAGGGTCTCAAGCTGGACCAAGAGAGGGGGCTTTTTCCTTAGCAATGTAGGTTCCTTTTATACCACACACATTTAAACATTTATATGTCTGTGTTTTGTACTAACTGCGCATCGATGGTTCACAAATGACTTGGAAAGACGAAAGTTGCAGTCACATCGTTACCAACAAAAAGAATACTCCCGACCAACATGGCTCTTTTCACGCGATGGGGGAGGGGGGCGATGCTGCTCGAGGCGGATGGTATACGTTTGGTTTGAAAAGTCACCAAAGGATATCTGTCTAATTATGGAAAAGACACAAAGCAATTTTTTATACCCTGAAGAGCATATGAAGCATGTTCTGACACGGTTTAATAATTTGCTTCGATTCATGTTAAATCTACCAGCCGGCGGTTATTACCCGGCCAAACTGAGACAGGTGGTGCTGTGCGGAGTGAGTCGTAGCTCATGCAGCACTGCTTACGGCCTCAAAATTGCAAACTTCGCGATCTGTGCTGCGGCTCCTGGGAAAGACTCCTGCCAGGTAGGAAAACCGCAATCCCCCTAAAAGCAAGGCAGGACGGAGAGGACAAATATACCGGTCTGGGTGCAGGCTCTCAGACGGTCCGTCTGATCTGACTCTCTAGTGCAGCGCTCCCAAAGATTTCTGTTTCAATCTAAATTTCGAAATGCTTTGCACAAGTTGGCTCCTAGTCACTCTTCGCTAGGTTTTGAGTTAGACTGACACTGCGCTGGGCCAACATCACCAAAGTACTTTCACCAAAATGACAGGCATGGGTCCGGAGGAGGAAGTCACCCCTCCCCCCCAAACACTTATTGCCATCCATTTCTTATTTTTATTATTTTGTTAATCTACAGGCTGCAACCCCCTTAACATAAAAAGTACAAAGTAGCAATCTTCTTTGCGTGTTCTGTTGAGGACAAAACCAAAAGAATTAATGGCACCAACAAATATTGAACAAATTTGAACCACCAGCCGAAAAATCCGGAATCCGTCCCTGATAGGTAATGGAACAAACTGGTACTCTCCTCTCCTATGCAGTCAATAAGTGCACGTTTTCTGATGGTCTCAATCTTTTTAAGGGCGATAGCGGTGGTCCAATTGTCAGCAACTTCGACGAAAACCGATACGTCAACAGCACAACGCTTGAGGGAATTGTCAGCTGGGGCTATGGTTGCGCCGATCCCCGCTACCCCGGAGTGTACACCCGAGTGTCCTTCCACTGCTCCTGGATAGCCAAAATAACGTCAAATGAAGTGACATGCAAGGTGCTCCCACGTCAGCATTCCACAGCACTTCCTTAATTCTCGATTACGAGAGTTATTCTATCATTTTTCCCTCTTATAATGAAAATATAAAGTATTGTCATTAAGGAAACAAACTTCTGTGTATCGATTTTGATTGTGCCAAGTATATTAGTGAGCCGTTTCAAAGGTTTGATTTGTTGGCGCGAGCCTTCAATCACCATTACTGTAGCAGCACGTGTTCCTATTTCAAGACGAGTCTGGTAACCAGTGAACATGTTCAATATTAGACTATTACAATCTGCTGTAGGGCATGTGAATGTTGCCCCTGCCTGTCAAAAAAATCAGATACATTCATATTAATGACGGTAATTAAGGCATTGCATCGGGCACCAAAATGGTTTAGTTTCCTTCGAATCAAACTGTCCTTTCCGTTGCATCTTGATGTTGAAAAAAGTGGAAGTTCGTACCTAAATCGTGCACAGGATGGTCTTCATGAGGCAATGGCTACGTCTACTGTAAGACTTTAGATCTAGCTCTATAGACAAAATGATGCGGACAAGGTCTTTCCTTTTACTCAAGTAAAGCTGAACAGCGACCTCTATAATGCAGGTCAACATTCTGGTGAAAAAATTGGATCAACTTGGAGCGATAAAACTAACATGGCAAAAATAAAATGAACTTATGAGAGAAAAATAAAAATTGGTGGTGAAACTGTTTTTTCTGTGTCACCCGACTACAGTTGTTATTAGCCTCAATTTTATGAACGTCTACAAATGCATTTTGTGCCCTAGGACGCCCTCCTTGCTGACTGAGAGAAAGGCTGGGCTCGCAGTCTGAAACACACACGTTCTCTAAAACGTGTGGAGTGTCATTACATGTCTCAAACTAGATCAGAGAATATTGTTTTTTAGGGCTTAAATATATGGAGAAAACTTTTCAAATTAAAGATACACCAGGATATCAAAGTATTCACATACACGATACAAATAAACTACGTAACTGCTTATCATTAGCAGGCTAACAGACCTTTTTTCATATGGGAGACACCCAACTGCATCAAGTTTATCATAGCAGGTCAGAGCGACTTCAAGCATTTCTTGTACGACCTAAGGCGTCTCGTTTTCACTGATACTTGTCTGATAGTTGTCTGGTGATCACTGTTGAAGGACTGGTTGCTTAACAACGTGGCTCACCTTCATGATTTTACCCCAATTTATAGTTTCAGTTTGGGATATTCTACCCCATTCAGTTCAAACATTTAAAGCCCACTTATTCTTATGCAGAAGATCGTCCCATTTTGTTACACCATTACAACATGTCCCTTGAAATAGCTGTAATTTGCAGCGTATTGAATGGCAACCTTTGCACTTTTTCAGAATACATGTACATTTGACATACTTGCTGGTTGGATCGACTGTATTTCCTCCTTTCACTTGTTACGACCCATAGACGACGCGAAAAGACTTCCCACGGTCAACTTTTTTTAAATTAAACAGGAGAGCCCGATATTTCGCTCCCACGATCACACTGACTGCCACACAGACCCTTTTCATATATAAAGAACGATTATACGCCTTCGGACCTACAAGTGCAAAATAGCATAGAAGTCCCCTTTAAGAATCGAAAAGAAAATACTGTTAATCAAACAGGGCTTGACAACCAAGCTTGCGCTTAGGTGCTTTGCAGATTAAGTAGTGGGAGTGACATTTATCTGCAGGTTTAAAGTCGGCAGACAGCGCTATTCAGCCTCGCTAGTAAACGCTTATCTGTTGCGGGCATGTAGTTACATTAAAACAACAAGAGAACGCACTAGCCACGTCCGTGACACGCTCCGACAGGGTTACATGAACGCCATTTCGTAAGACGAGCAACAAGTAGAAAAGTGTCTCGTTTCACAAATAGAGATCCGGGTATTTTGCTATTGGTTTGGCCACTTGCAAAATGGCAGACGGGTCACTGGCCAGCACGGCCGCGTAGCGCGCAGAGTATTACTGAGTGCGCTCTCCAAATCTTATATGTAGTTCTATGGTTGCAGGGTACTGAAAATAGTGCGTGCATGATGAGAATGAGAGAAGGAAGAGTCTTTTCAATGGGAACTGTTTATTTCAATGGGGTTATTTTGAAAAGCGGCACCGAGGGGAAGTTTACAACACAGGTCAAGGAACCATGTCCGAGCCACCCTCAAACAGAGAAATTTCCTTTGAAAGGTCATATGTACATTCTTTTCAAGATCAAGACATTACCTGGTTCTCAATCTTTTTCGTGATTTTCTACAAAAGAACTTTCAATGTAAAAGCGCTATATTTGTATACAAGTACTAGTTACATGAATTATGTAGGACCCATGAGCTTCTTACTTACAGAATAATTCTGATTTGTTTTATTAGAATTTTTTAGCCTTATGAACAACAAAGACGCAAGTAACCGTGAATACTAACTCCTGTCGACGTAACTACACAAAATGTTATAGAGTGGCACAATGTTGCAATATCCGTGACAAAAGATATCTTCGAGTTCCCGACTCACAAAAACATAAAAGAAAAACAAACACAAAAAAATTGTATTGACCCGACTCTGATATGACGTCGAGCGCACAAAATGCGCAGCAAAACCCTCTACGTAACCACCAATTCACGTCAGGATGACGTTAGTTTGAGATTCAAACGATACGGCTGTGATCAGTGTTTAAATTCGGCATGTTGAGTCTTGCTTTCGACCATGATTGACGCTTTGTTTCATAGACCGTGTTTTGGGGTTATTATTTTGTGATAGGGAAGGCAGAAAGCAATATCGATGATAAAGGCCATACCGAAGTTACCCATATGTAGTTTGCCATAAAATTCCCACACGTATCTTCAAAATATCTCTTGTAAACGGAGCCTGCATAAACTGTACAACCGAGTGTAACTAAAAGGCAAGGGTTATATGAAGCCAAGTTCTACTCATCCATTAGCAATGAATCATCTTTTTAGAATGGCCTCTGTTTTGTATTTTCTCTGTTTGCGAAAGTAATAGTTCAGGGAGCCAACTTTTTTTTGCAAAGTTCAAAAACACCGAGAGCAAAATGTCACCTGGACATGATTTTCCGGGCTCTGTCAAGACAAGAGTTCACATTACTGGTATTTTTCTCGGTCAGTCAGAATGGGCCATGGTTGTTTGTCATTTCAACCCCAAAAAAATCTTGTTCGTGTGACACAATTTGCCTCCCGTGAATAGCGAATCTAATAAATAGGTAAATGTCCTCGGCTGATGTTTAAGATGGCGGTTCAATGCAGCCAGCTGCTGAATTTCAAGTCGTGGGCAAACACCATTGAACCCGTCTAGTAAACAGAGCGTATAGACCAGCGTTCAGTTTCCGAGTCTGGGCAACGTTACAGTCTAAGTTTGCCCTCAACTTTGTTTGCGGCTTCAACTGATTTTATTTTTACAAAAGAGCGAACAAAATCAATTCAAATAAATTGTCTGCTCCTCAAACCTCTACGGAAGCCCGTTAGTACCAATTTTAAATATGCAAAAAAAAATTTATTGCGATATAACGCAATAACTTTGCGAAATATTTAAGTAGCTTTGCAAAATACCAAAATAGTTTGAGAAAAAACCCATATATAGCTTTGCAAAATAACGCTGTGGTTTTCGCGATGTGATTGTTGCCTCCTTTGGTGTTTTGCCTCTCAGCGTAAGCACCGCACGCTGAAATCAAATGTCATACTCCATTCTGGGTGCGTTCGCGTGGTTACTGCGTTCGGGTATGGCAGGATGCGTGCGCATCACTCGGATGCAGGAGTATACTCCTCGTCTAACGAGAGCGTACAAATACAGCATGGTTTGAGGGAAAGTAGTGGGAATTACTGGTCCCGAGGTGTAGGTCGGGACCAGTAATAGGTCGGTAATGGGTCGAGACTATACTGCATCAATATTCAAACTGAAATCTCACGTTACTTGTACTCACAGACGCCATTGTTGTTTCTCAGCTGCTAAATTTCCATGTAATGATAGGTGAGTGCAGATGTACATAGAAACAGGGCTTCAATAGTCTGGTGCTGATATACGTTTGGGGTCTTTACTGTAATAGCCATGAGGATAAAACTCCAGACTAGTTCCGTAAAGATTACATGAAACAGACTACATGTTTACACGGCGGGTTCCAGAGGGTGTTTTGATGCTACCAGAAAAAAAAAACTACCGCACCGCGGCGAGGTGGATACTCACTACTATGACGTCACATGGTCGCGTATCATTTCTACTTCCCAGACGCGAGTCGGAATCGGCCAATGACGCGCTCCGATTTGCTCAGGAATATGTATGAGGTGTAGTAATATACTCTCGCTGACCTGTGGGTCGTACTCCTGCCGTTTGAACGCTCAGGAGAGCACTCATGTTGTGAGTTTTAACACGAGTAGCTCGGTCGAACGCACCCTCCCCTCGCTCGAACGCACCCTCCCCTCGCTCGAACGCACCCTCCCCTCGCTCGCACGCACCCTCCCCTCGCTCGAACGCACCCTCCCCTCGCTCGAACGCACCCTCCCCTCGCTCGCACGCACCCTCCCCTCGCTCGCACGCACCCTCCCCTCGCTCGCACGCACCCTCCCCTCGCTCGCACGCACCCTCCCCTCGCTCGCACGCACCCTCCCCTCGCTCGCACGCACCCTCCCCTCGCTCGAACGCACCCTCCCCTCGCTCGCACGCACCCTCCCCTCGCTCGAACGCACCCTCCCCTCGCTCGCACGCACCCTCCCCTCGCTCGAACGCACCCTCCCCTCGCTCGAACGCACCCTCCCCTCGCTCGAACGCACCCTCCCCTCGCTCGAACGCACCCTCCCCTCGCTCGAACGCACCCTCTGCGTCTGCTCCAGTATGAAAAGAGCAACAATCAACAATCGATGACTTAGTCGTTGTCCTGGACAATCCGTGACAGGCCAAATGTCGTTTTAGGGTCCTTAAGCTTACGATGATGTAAAAAACCACAATGTTTGATCATAACTCAAACCAAGAGAGAAGTAGAAGCTCACAAGTTTGCGTAATGTCATGCTTAGCTTTCCTCGAATGGTATTTTACGGGAAATCACTCGCACTGCTCACTCAAGGGTGCCTTCGAGTGAGCTTCTGATGTTCACGCTCAAACGGCTGCAGTCCGACCCACTGATCAGCGAAAGTATACTCTCGCTAACGGGGAAGTATACTCCTGCGAGACCCAGGTGTAATTTGCGCGCATCCTACTCTGGTTACCAGGAGTAACCGTGCGAAGGTACCCCAAACGTCAGTAGAACTGATGCGTTATTTCACAATATTATTGTGTTATTTTGCAACTGTATTCCGTTATGGAGCAATGTCATTTCGTAAAATTATTGCGTAATTTAGCCATAAGTACTTTTGCAGAGATAAACTTAGCACTACGGGCTTCCGTAAACCTCCTATAGAATCTACAACCAACTTTTTTCAAGCTCGCGTACGAATTTAGGGCTGCTGTTTTCCGTCACCACTTTCGCTTTCATAACCAATTATGAAAACAGCAATAGGGAGTGCACAAATTGGTCACATGAGATACAAAGCCTTCAAGGCACACTAAATTAAGATAAGGAAACATGCGTCACTATCAGTATGCAGTGAGATACTCAGCTGTTTAGTTTCACCATGCAGCAGAGTGCACGACGCGTCCGACGAGGGCCTTAATAAAAGGCGCCGTCCCGTTTGGGCAGGTACCCACTAAGCCGAGAGAGTACACAGAAGTCAAGTGACGAACATCCTTTTAACTACTCGACATTTCACTCACCATGAGGATCTTCGTGTTCTTCGCCTGCCTTTCACTGGCTCTTGGTAAGTCATTTTGTTAAGGCCCGCGACCAGCAGGCTGCCCCAGCTTTACTTTGATGAAGTTTCAGGTGATTACCTGTATTCAGATGTTTTCAAGAGAAAACATCCGAGGGGGAATCCAACCCCTCAAACGTTTCTCTAATATCGCTACCGTGTATTTGCGTTTTCACAAACCTACCCTCAGACACATCTTGTGGTCATTTTGACACAAATTTTCTAAAAATAAGACATGCTGGCCTTGCAAAATGCTCATTTTCCGAGACGGGTCAACCACTGAAAAGCAACTCTTTTCCCATTCCGTGTTCCATGCACGCGGGCCGAAACGTTTGCGCCGTGAATTTCAAATGACTACAACATCAGAACCTTTGTCACATTGAATTGAAATTGTTGCTTTCGAAAACAGAGTCTTTACATGCATGCTAAGTTTCAAAACAATCAGGTGAGTGACAGCTGAAAGGGAAGAATCTTTCCCCTGCTGTGGGGGGTCCAAACTAACCCAGCTCTTTAAAGAATCCAGGAAATGAACTTTTCTTAGAATCACTTTTTGTGCATCTCTGTACTCTCCTACCACGTATAAAGACTGTTTGACATCTTTTTTGAGTTAAGTAAACTGGACAGTGCACTTTTTCAAACAATAAAAATTGATCAAGCATTTCTGGACAAGTGAGGGCGTTTTGGCCTTGATGTAAATCCAGGGAGACATGGTTCATGTTGCATGTTTTCATGTTCAAATTGTGAACCCAAAATTTCGGAACATTTCTGTGAAAAGAATTTTTGATGGATTATTGCCATATACTTACACAACAATAAATTGCCAAAGAAAATGAAATCTGCCATAGCAGTGGTTAAAAAATTCTACATCTTTTCCGTATACAAATTAGTGCAACATTGAGATTCAATGCCTTGGGTGACATCATTCTGCTCATGAAAGTGCAAATATGCATCAGCATAAAACCAAAAAAGCATCAAAATATGGGATAAAATTGCAAACATTTAAAATAAGTTTAATTGAAACCCAAAGATGCAATTTCAAGGGTTTTTAGTAAAATTTATAAAAATATTTCTATTTCTTGGTTCCTTTAAATGTCGAACCATGAGCATGCGGTTACACACATTTGAACAAATAGCCGAACCGTTTTTTCTTTGTACGATGGCTTTGGATCAGTTTTTGTACCTTTAATTCATATCAAAGAATTCTAATAATTGTGCTGTTTGGTGTATGATTTTTAAACCAGATCAGTTTGTACACATCAATACTCAAGAGTGCAGAAATATGTTGCATGGGTGTAAATTTCGGATCACTCGCGCAAACTTTCAACGTTTACTTTTCTACCACGTGAAAAAAAATGATTGATAGGAGTCAATCAATTCCCGTTGATGGGCTTGATTGTTTGTTTACCCTGTGGTCTACAAAACAGAATGCACACGAAGAAACTAATAAATATGTGCACAGACCTAGATAATAACAATTGATGTTATCATCAGCAAATTATGTGTAATCATATTCATAGGGCTAGTTGGCCCAGCAAAACTGATATTATGAACCTAGATAAAAGCCAAACAATGATTACATTACTCTAGTTTTACCCCCCCCCCAAAAAAAAATTATTAAGTCTTATGAAAATATATGCCCAGAGCTCGTGTCATGTATAATGTGGCACGAACATAATACGATATGCACTAAATCCAACAATTATAAACCCAAGACATCTCCCGAATATCATATTTAAAGGTAGCAGACACCATCGATTTTTTTGTCGTAATTTCACAAGATTTGCTGATTGCGGTGTACAATATTCACTGCAACATTTCACTGCTTTGCAAAATATCGAGAAAAACAGCGCTGCATTTTTCAACGCTTAAATCGAAGGTCTTGTAGTTGATCTTTCGTAAAATTTATGGATTATGGGGCATTCGTACTACAAGAAAACAACGTCCACGGGGTCAGGTTGGGAAACTAGCATGACAGATTCTCATTCCCGTAAAACTGTTCAGTTTTCAACGGCTAGGAGAAATTAGTAAATTTACCTTGGAGTAATGTGGCTCCTAGAAAATGTAGCATTGCGGATTCATGGAAAAACTTCCTCCAGCAACGCTGTCAACTCGAGTCCGTGACATCGAATCGAGAAGGCCTAATGTACGTGCGCGCGCAATCGTGCTTAAGCCTATAACAGCACTTTCATATCAGTTTACAAGTCGATGGAAGTCTCAGTTGATTCATCAATAATAATTATAATTAACAGAGAATCATATCTTAAAACAAGGGAAGATTAACATGTGGAAATCGTACTTTTTGTTGACGAAAATAATTATGCTAGGAAACAGCCGCCATATTGGATCATACCATTATGCTTTAGGGGTGATTTTTTGCTTTACGCCTAACACGCCTAATTTCAATTCACAATGCTTTGGGTGAATGTATTTCAGTATATTTTTAGCTGCTTTTAGGTTTCTCCGTTCATTAATGGAGACTCCCTCACCATCTGCAAACACTATAAGAAAACTGGCGCCTGTTTTAAAGGACGTGGTGTACGAAGTGATATTAGCTCTATGGCGATGCTCACCCGACCATCATAAAAAGGAAACGACATTTTTGTTTTCTTGAAAACTACGCCATTATGGGTGGATGTATTTTACAGGCTGATTGAGACTGTAATGTACTTTCTTTCAAGTAAGATATTTCAGGTTTATACGGCGTGGTCCGATTTTCAGGATTTTACCAATAGCAATGGTGTACTCCACCTTAAAATCAACCAAAGTGTATTCACTTTATATCGTCCACGCACAAGGGATATATTTCATGATTAACCTTGTAACTGGATAATTAAGGTACAGGGCGTCTAGAGATGAAGAAAGAACTTCGGGGATTGGAGGAACAATGTGATTCAAAATGGAATGATTCGGCAATTATAAATGAATCAGGAGAGGGCACTGTTGCGCACTCCCGTGGGAGAGACGCTTTCGGACAATGATAATGTGATGCGCCTCGCAGTCTGATCGTGCAGTACAACAATTCTCTCACATACCAGTAGGTGTTCCTGTAGTTGTCTGTTCAAGAGTATAAAATTCGTGTTAACACGAGTCCAAGTTATTCAAATGTACGATGTAGTCAATAAGATTTCTATTTCTCTCCATGTAGCGTTTTCACCAGGCCGCCTAGACGAGAAGTCGATCTTTGGCGGCATCGAGGCGCCTTTAAAAAGTCGCCCCTACCAAGTTGCTATCTTCCGTACACCCACTGGGGGATTTAACAGTCAGTATTGCGGCGGAACTCTTCTCAGCACACGTTGGGTGTTAACTGCTGCTCACTGTGTTGGGACTGGGTTAGTATGTACCCCCTGCATAGCTGTTCTTAGTCATCACCAAGTTGAGCGCACTTATTTTGTTCTCACCAGGGACTCATTTGACCCACTTCCTGTTCTTGGCAGTTTCCTTCTTATTTCGGCTCAGCTTCACCATGCTTCACCATGCTTGTGCTTAATACGGACGTTTCATAATAGTGCGCCACCAAGAGTTTGCAACGCGTCCGCCAATCACAATGTGCGAAAAAAAGGATCGTACTTCACATTGGTTCGACCATTGCTGGAATATTCGTCATCTGCCTGGGATCCCCACTTGGTGTCTGACATTCATTGTCTCGAACAGATCCAAAGACAAGCTGCTAGATTCATTTCCAACAACTGTAGTAGAGCACCTGGCACCGTGACTTACATACTCTAGGAACTTGGCTAGTCATCCCTTGAGACAGGACGGAAAACAAACCGGTTATCCATGATGTTCAAGATAATCAATAAGTTGGTCGATGTTCAGTCTGGTGGTATCCTCACTCCAAATGTTAGTATCTCCAGGGGTCATACAAAACACAATTGCAAATCTGTTCTCATGCCAAGGTTTCTGACGATATCTTCCTTCCCAGAACAGTTAGGGATTGGAGCAACATGCCTCAATCTGTGGTAAATGCAACATCAGTGTCAGTATTCAAGGAGGCAGTCGGGCAATATTTTCATTGAAAGGTTGTTTTAATTTGGCATCAATCTCATCAAGGGAAGGGTAAACTTTATATAGTTGGTGTGATGTTTCCCTTGGATGCTTTGCCGACTATACCATACAGATATACATGTAGATCTGTCGACTTAATGCGCGTTTGGAAAGGGTGGACAAATTCCGCGCGTTGCGATTGATGCACGCGTTGCAAACTCTTACAGCGCACTATTGTGAATCGCCTGTATTGTTCAAGCTATATGATAGACTCCGTGCGTTAGCAAATTTCGCTTGTTATCGAGGAATTCTTCCAGTTTTCCGGAAATAGTCAAAATATTCCGAAGTCGTCACGTCGACATTCTGCATGTATTCATGTTATCTGGGCTGAATTCTTTTTTATTTAAACAAGAACATGGATTTCTCTGTTGTAGAAAATATTTAATCTTAATTTTGCCAAACTTCCCATTGTCAGGGGCTGTGGAAGCCATCTCTCTACTTTTTACATCTGTTCAAAAATAAAAATTTCACAAGTTTTTTCATGTATTCCTGTAAAACCCTGACAAGGAGGTAGTGTGTGATCCTGTTCAGAGAAAAGTGTTCTTGAGTCGTGTTCCCGCCGTTCGAGCGCAAGAACAAGAAACCTGTGTACACTGCGCGCATGCGTGGATTCCTGCGTGTATCTTATTGGCTTTGAAGTCTATGGGCTGTACGATACATGACAGTAAAGTTATATTGATATTGGACATTGGACATTCCCAAAAGTTTGTACGGCGAATGTCTGATTTTCCTCGACACCGTGGACTTTCCCATAGTATTGTACAGGGAATGTCTGATTTCCATTGTCGAGAAAAATCAGACATTCGCTGTACAAACCTATGGGAATGACTAATGTCAAACTCACCTAACTGTCACGTACGATACTTGTGAAAAGCAACGGCTCTTAACAACATCCATCACCAATCTCACTGTGACTCTGTAATGTAACCACAAGCAGACACTTATCGTGCCTTTATTCATTTGCACTGTAAGTCTTTTCACAGTTTCTTTCTGTAAGTGAAAACAGTTTTCTTGTATATCAACGTAGGGGAGCACCGTACGTTGGGCTTGGATTCCACAACTTAGCAAACGGGCAACAGATCATCAGAGGCAAGGGCTACGGCCACCCTTCATGGCATTCCAACGACATATCTCTGATTCATCTGGACGCACCAGCAACCCTGTCGGATGCCGTACAGCCCATCAAGCTTGCCAGAAATGGTTCAGACATTTCAGGAGGCGAGAAGCTGTTAGTGAGTGGCTGGGGTAAAGCGTCATGTAAGCCGTGCTCTTGTCTTTGCTAGATATGGAGAACCAATTTCAGTCATATTCCTGAACGTATTAAAGGTCTATACATTAAAACCCTTCATGGGTGTTACAGGTGATTTTAGCGGGTCGGGATGTGAAATCCTGGAATAGAGTCTAGTTCTCTCAATAGCTTTAACGTTTTCGGATGAATTACCACGTTGGGGAACGTAATTGCAATTAGGTCCCCCATATACGGCAAGTACGGTCTATGGCATTGTCGTTACCATCGTTGTCCGTTAGTTTTACAATGTATAGTCGACAGTCAACCGAGCAGAACATGTAGCGAATTTTTTCTTCAGTTTTGTGGGTCTCCAGCTGGACCAAGAGAGGGGGCTTTTTCCTTAGCAATGTAGGTTCCTTTTATACCACACACATTTAAACATTTATATGTCTGTGTTTTGTACTAACTGCGCATCGCTGGTTCACAAATGATTTGGAAAGATGAGTGTTGCAGTCGCATCATACCAACAAAAAGAATACTCCGACCAACATTCATGGCTCTTTTCAAGCGATGAGGGGGCAATTCTGCTCGAGGCGGATGGTATACTTTTGGTTTGAAAAGTCACCAAAGGATATCTGTCTGATTATGGAAAAGTCAAGACACAAAGGATTTGTACTCTGAAAAGCATATGGAGGGGGGTATGTTCTGACAAGGTGTAATAATTCACTTCAATTCATGTTCAATCTTCCAGCCGGATACTTCCCGACCACACTGAGACAGGCGGTGGTGAACGGAGTGAATCGCGCTACATGCAACAGCAAGGGAGCTTACAACGGCAAAATCAAAGACAACATGGTCTGCGCTGCAGCAGCCGGGAAAGACTCCTGCCAGGTAGGAAAACCACGGTCACCCCCAAAAGCAAGGCACGACAGAGAAGACAGATATACCAGTCAGTCTGGTCTGACTCTCCAGTGCAGCACTCCCAAAGACTCAGTTTCAATCTGCATTTCCAAACGCTTTTCACAAGTTGGCTCCTAATCACTCTTCGCCGGGTCTTGGGTAAGACTGACACCCCGCCGGGCCAACATCACCAATTTGAACGTACTTTCGCCAAAATATACAGGCGTGGGTACGTGTCTAATGGAGGGATCTCCCTCATCCAACACTTATTGCCATCCATTCCTTTTTTAAAATTATTTTGTTAACCTACAGGTTGCCTTAACCTGAAAAGCACAACGGAGCAATCTTCTTTGCGTGTTCGGTTGAGGACAACACAAAGAGACATTCAATAAGTGCACGTTTTCTGTTGGTCTCGTTCTTTTCTAGGGTGATAGCGGTGGTCCACTTGTCAGCAACTTCGACGTTAATTCGCACTCCCCCAGCACAACACTCGTGGGAGTTGTCAGCTGGGGCTGGGGTTGCGCCAATCCCCTCTACCCCGGAGTGTACACCCGAGTTGCCTACTACTGCTCCTGGATCGCCAGTACGACGTCAAATGAAGTGACATGCTAGGTGTTTCCAAGTCAGCATTCTTTGGCATATGCATGATTCTCGATTATGAGAGTGATTCTATTATTTTTCCCCCTCTTAAAATCAAAACATAGGGAGTAATGTTAAGGAAACAAACTTTTTAGTAATTAGTGAGCCGTTTCAAAGATTTATGATAGATGAGAGCCTTCAATCACTCATTACTGTAGCGTAGTACGTGCTCCTATTTCAAGACGGGACTGATAAGGAGTAAACATGGGCCGTTTTCCAATACCCAACGTCGGCTCCGTCTCAAGCTCCAACTGCTTTTTACTAGCTGACTTTGAAGATGTAAGCGCAGTAATCAGTCTATTAGTACCACAGAACATCAAATAAAATGCAAGAAAGCCAAAAAATATAGTAATACAATGCAATTTAAAGGCTTTAGGACCACAATCGGGGATTGGTTTTGGGAATGAAGCCTGAGACAGAGATGAAGTTGAGTATTGGAAAACGGCCATGTTCAATGCTGAGTAATCTGCTCCATCGCATACCCTGATTCTCGATTGATCAGACTCATCCATGGCAGTAATTAAGGCAAAACATCGGGCACCAAAAAGTACAGCTTCCTCCGAATCAAACTGTGCATTTTGATGTTAAAAAAATCGAGGAAGTTCGTACCTACAAATAAATCTGATATCAGACACGTCCAAAGTTAAATTGTGTCCAGGATATAGTCTCCATGGAGCTCTAGACACAATATTGGTCGAGTTCGGGCGGCCTGTTCTTGACACGAGTTTCTTGTTCTCGCACTCGACCGGCGGGAACACGACTCAAGAACACTGTTCTCAGAACAGGATCACAGACCACCTCCTCGTCAGGGTTTTACAGGAACAAACGGAGAAACTCGTGAGATTTTGATTTTTGAACAGCTGCAAAAAGTAGAGAGATGGCTTCCAAAGCCATACACAATGGGAAGTTTTGCAAAATTAACATTAATTATTTTCCGTAACACAGAAATGAATGTTCCTGTTTACATAGCAAAGAATTCAGCCCATCTAAACATTAACTCTCGAATAACGTAGCCTACATGGACGCCTCCATGTTGCATGTCACTAACTACCGGCGATCGAGCGGCCGACCGACGAACAACAAATCGAGCTGTTCGTGAACATACCAGAACAAGCCGCCCGAACTCAGCCAATGATTCGGATAAGGTCTTTTCCTTTACTGTAGTAAAGCTGAACAGCGACCTCTGTGCAGGTCAACATATAACAAAGAAAGATTTCAAGTCGGAGTGATACACCTAACATGACAACAATAAAATGAAAATAATAAAATGGCAAAACAAAAAACAAAAAAATGGTTGTGAAACGTTTTATTTGCTGTGTCTACAGACTGCAATTGTAGTTAGCCTCAATTTTAAGAATGTCTGTAAATGGATTTTGTGTCCTAGGACGCCCTCACTGCTGACTGAGAGAAAGGCTGGGCTTCGCTCGTCGCCCAGCGCTCGAAGACATATGAAGCAAACTATGGGACAAAGTGGACCCCCCCCCGCCTTGTATTGGTTATTGTTAAACTGGTATCTCAGAAATTCTTTTCTGACATCTAGGGGGGATGTGTTAAGTGACAATAGGCTGGAGTGTGTGCAGGGATTGGACTTGTGCCCCTCTACCCATTTCGTGCCTGCTATACTCGAAAAGGGCGCTGGGACTGGGGCTGATGGCTTGGCACTGTGATTGGCTTCATTGCCCACGACCTGTGACCGCAAGGTTATAAATTCCTGTAAGCAAAGGGCAGTGCTTTGGCACGAGTAAAGGGTCAGCTATATGATAAGACATGACCTTGGTGCAATCACAGTATGGTAATGTATCTCCTCATCACTGATCACGTGTCTTTTGGAGATATATTTCAAATCATTGGTCATCTTGATCAATTTTGTACCTACGAATAAATTAAAATGAGGATATTTTCAGCGATGAGGAAGATGAAGACAAAATATCGAATCAATAAAAGCCTTTATGTCATGCATTGAGTGAGTTCGCGCCCCCGGCAGAAATTGACCCACAATGCTTTGCGTGTTTTTAGCTGTGACCCCGTGTGACGTATCAGCCATCAGCCCGTCCGAGTGAGAGGCTGGGCCTACAGTCTGAAACATTCACGTCCCCATAAATGTCTAGAGTGTCATCACATTTCCTAACTAGATTAGAGAATATTGTTTTAATGCTTAAATATACGAGGAAAACACAATCAAAGACAAGTAATACACCGGGATATTGTAGGGGGTTGTTGGGCATGATCTCTGGGCACAGCGAGACAACTTGGCTTGTTCATTTTTGAGATAGGACTTTTGTTTATCAGTTAGTGAAAAACAACTAATACAAGCCCCTGTTAAAAACAGAGAAGTACAGGTGTTGTATATCAATTATCATGAAATATAATGATATTAAAAGTACATGTAATAAGAATCGGAACCGTTTCAGCTTTCCCAACAGGCACTACTTGGTGTAAACGACCCTTCAAAACTCAGCTAGAGTGTAGGCTAATGATTTGGGAGATTCCAAATGGCCTGCCACGCAAAGAAATGCCAATGTTGCGGTGATAATTGTACACCATGTACTTAAAATACATGTAGAGGAGCGATCCGTCTTCTTGCCCCAAGGCTGGTTTTACTGTTTTGGCCGGTGCACCGTGCAAGGAAACATGCGCTGGTGAGCACTGCCAAATAGCACTACCAGTAGAGGGCACTACATTCACGAGACAACCAGCGATTAGAAAAAAAACCTGCATCGGGCCGTTTTCCAATACTCAACTTCGTCTCTGTCCCAGCGGCGTCTCCGAAACCAATCCCTGATTGTGGGCCTGAAGCGTTGGAATTAAATTAAAGTACTGTAATATTTGGCTCTTTTTTTATCTTACTTGATGTTTTGTATTACTATCAGATTTACCTTTGCGCTTACTACTTCGAAGTCGGGTGGTAAAAAAAAAACAGTTGGAGCCTGCAGAGACGGAGCCGAAGTCGAGTATCGGAAAACGGCCCGTAGAATTTGGCAGGCTTAACCGGAAAATTCTGAGTATGCTTCAAGCGCCCATGTTCATGAATAATAATGCCCGTACGGACTGCATGCCCAAAACTGGCCGCCATACAGACTAAGGTTTTCGACAGTGCACATGAGCAATTATTCATGGTAATTTGAGCGCATGAGGCATGCTTGAATTTTTCGGGTAAAGGGCCAATCAAAATGTTCAATGTTTTTTTTAAATGTCGACTTTTTTCGAAATTGTGAGTGGGTGGGTCAAAGAAATCAATTGAAAATCGAAATTCACTTTTACAGAGCCCGAAATGAATACGTCACGCGCACAATTAGTGTGTAAAGGCATTAACGCGAGAACAAGCACGCGCACGTACTCCATTTGTTTGCACTGCACTTTCTGGTCCACAGTGACGTCACACTTCGGTACTCTATGGACGTTTCCTGTGAAATATGCAAATTGGACGGGTGCCTGCACACTACTACCACTAGTTGGCAAGTGCTGCCGTCAACACTGTCGGTAGCGTAGGCGAGCTCACAGTAACCATAACCTTTGCCCGATACTTGAGCATGCTTTTCTCGAAACTAAGTGAGGTTTTCAGTGTCCTGAACTTGGAAAGTAACAATTCGTTGTCTTTAAGTTGGGCACTCATGTTAAACTATACTAGTACAGAAACGGCAGTAGTGACGCGCGCATGGAGATTTGTATTGTTACGTCATAGATATAAGCAACTTTGCCAAACAGTGGTAGTAATGCGCATGCACCTGCCTTATTTGCATATTTCATGGGAAAGGTCCCATGGGAACGAGGTTGCTGGCAGGTCATCTCTTGTGAATGTAACACCCTCTATTGGTAGTGCTATTTGGCTGTGCTCACCATGTACCACGTACCAGTGCATGTCACCTGCACGGCGCACCGGCCTTGGGGGCAAGATTAAACGACCCAGCGCTTACATGTATAGTGTGCACTGCTGCTTGCTCATCGAACCTGCTGCATACACGATGAAGGCCAAGTCATCAATGTGGAAACACGCCGACAGCGCAGCGTGCGTACGCACATGCAGCGCGTAGACGTCACTTGAATGGCAACTCTCAACAGGCATTGATGAGCGCGAAAAACACTCGTAGTCGTTACAAAAAAATAAGACCAGACCAGTCACGGCAATACTAATGAAACAAGTTATAAATTCAAAAACTTTACAAATATACTTTTCAATGTAATTTTGTGAATGTTGCAAAATGGAAATAAAAAAACAAACCAAACTAGAAGTGGTGTTTGTGAACAAGCACATAGCTGTTCCAAAAATGTTTTTATTGTCTTTTGATGACTGTCAACGAGTACCATAAGTTTGTAATAAATTGGATTACAAATAATTGCAAAAGTGGCACGTACAACGAAAACCAAATATAACTGCAATTGAACGAATAGTGAATCAGATATGACAATTTGTGTGTTAAAATACAATACAACTTCCTGTCAAACCGGAAGTAAAGGTCAAATGAGGTCAAGATATTAATTTTCATCTATAACACGTCCCTGACTACGTGCATAACAAATTTGAGATAAATCGGTCAAATGTTTACTAGTTATTAGACTGTAAAGAATGAACATTTGAATTGAGGTCACGTGACCCCTGATGACGTCGGGATTACAAAAAGGTTCGGGGCATATCTTCTGATGAGGGTTAATTACAATACCAAGTTTGAAACT